ATATAAGGACACATCTCAAAAGTTTGCAGAATTCAGTGGCAGGAAAATTCTGTTTTTGATGGGGACCCTGTTTGCTTCATTTTGTCAAACAAGAAATAGATACCCCATGGTCTTCCCTCGTTGCCTCTACTAATAAGAAGCTTAGGGCTAAACATAGTGCCTATCTGTAGGACAGCTAGGTGGCTCAATGGATAATGTGCTGAACCAGGGGATAGGAAGATCTGAGTTCAAATGTGACCTCAGACATTTACTAGCTGTGTGATCCTGGGCAAGTCACCTACCCTCTATTTGCATCACTCTTCTCCTCTATGAAATGAGGATGATTATAGCACCTACATCCCAAGGTCGTTATAAGGATCAAATGAGATACTATCTGTAAAGCACTATACAGATGCTAACTATTGCCTATATATCTGCAGTGGCTACTTCATACCAGGTACTTGAGACTTCTATTTTCCCATTCCATTCAATTCAACTCAATAAGCTCTGTTGTAGTGTAATTTCAGTTGTGTCCAACTCTCCATGACCCCATTTGGGGTTTTCTTGGCAGAGATACTGAGTGGTTTGTCATTTCCTTCTCCAGCTCATTTTACAGATAAGGAAACTGAGGCAAACAGGGTTAAGTGAGCTAGTTAAGTATCTGAGGTCTAATTTGAACTCAGGTCGTCTGGACTCCAGGGCTGGCATTCTATCCACAATGCCACCTAGCAGCGATGTCAATAAACTTTTATTAAGCAACTATTCTGTGGTGCTCATTGTGTTACGGATACAAAGACAAAAAAAAAGTCCCTGCCCTGGAAAAGCTTCCATTCTACTGGGTAGTGCTGTTCTATTTTAATATTAAATTGATATATTTGGGGTATTAACTTTGTCCTCTGCTAAAATCCTCTTCAGGTATCTTATCAGGGTGTGGGGGTGAGTTGGGGGTTCTTAAAGGTGATTTCAGTGGAGCATGACCATTGTCAGGTCGTACTAAACTGGAAAGGCTAGCACTCTCCCACCTCTTTGTGCACTGGTAAGCTGGGGGCCTCAGAGCTCAGTTACACATCACCTCAGGGTTCTAGGAGTACCATGAGGCATTTGGAGTATATCCTTCTAATGCTAAATCTCATGATCCCCCACTGGGTGCTTCCTCCTCCTCCTCAAGTTGTACCCCAAAGTCTGTGAAACACTTTCCCATCAGTATACATAGCCAGGGTGAGAGGAGACAGAGGCCAAGTCCTAAGCTAAGGCTGGGGGCAAGAACTCTTCTCCTTTCTCCTCTCTTCCCAGCCGGCTGGTGCATTGCTTGGTTTTGCTGAACTGATTGTGAAAATCTTTATTATAAGAGATAGCTTGCCGTGTAGGGAAGGAGGAAGGATATATTTAGAAGAGGATGTGACATAACCAAAAAAGCATCAATAAACATTAATTTTTAAAACTGTAAGCACTCTAAGGAAAAGGACTGTTTCATGTTTGTTTCTGTATCTCACTGTTTAGCATGGTTCCTTACACGCAGTAGGTACTTTAATCCATGCTCGATGAATTGCCAGAGAAATAAGTAATAGAAACATAGCTGTGAAGTGTCAGAGCTGGGATCTGAACCTAGTGTTTTTTCCATTAATCTCCCATTTCCCTGGATTTGGAGTCAGAGCACCCGAATTCAATTTCTTCCTCTGTTACTTGCTCCCTGAGTGCCTTTGGGCATGTCACCAAACCTCCTCTGGGTCTCACATCCCTCATCTATAAAATGGAGTATTGAATATTAGAATAGAGACAGTAATGACTGATATATACAGATATAACCTTGAGGCTTTTAAAGCACTTTATACATTTTCATATCATTTTGATCCTCACAACAACCCATTTGTAGATGGGAAAACTAAGGCTCAGAGAGATCAAGTGAGGTCTTTTTGACAAGTTCAGTACTCTAACCATTACACCATACTTCTTCAGCTCCTTTCTACCTAAAACTTCACTGCAGGCTCAAAGGTTCCATTTTATTTGAGCCAGAACCTATTCTAAACCTTACAGAGCCAAGAACAGATATAGGGTTCTCTTCAGATTGGGAGTTAGAACTCCCAATCATCTATGGGCCACTCACGGGTATCTGGGTCTCTCTCTCTCTCTGTACTGAAGTAATACTGGCAACCTACACCAGCTTCTGATCTACCTCCTCTTGGCCTGCAGAAAGACAGTCACCACTTCACCATTAACCAGAAACAGAAATGCAGTTATAATTTTGCCCACCAGGGGTCACTTTACTCCACCTGCCATCCCAGGTTGATGCAAACACCAAAGATTATCCAGGCAGCCCACCTTGGACAAACTACAGGCTTGAAAAGGCCTGCCTGCAAGTAAAGAAATATTCATTGATCTGGGTAATGGATGAACACAGGGCATGAGACAACGCTATTGCTTTAGGAGTTTAAAAACTGGACCGCTTATGGCATTAGAGTTCCCATCTTCACTCCCTAGGTTGTTATTACAGAAGCAGTCAGTTTTCCCTAGTTCCATGGTTTATTCAACATAGTAAAACTGTAAAGAAATTGCTAAGCGCTCCCCTTTTGTGATTCACTTTGCCAAATTGTCATCTCCACCCCCTCCTCTACTTCCTCCTTCACCTACAGGTTGTAAAAAATGAATGGGGGGGGAGGGGAAGGGGATGAAGCACACAAGTAGAGAGGTTGGACTTGGCAGGAAGGTTCACCTTTTCCTTTAAGCCTGGAGCAAACAGGAAAAAAAAGGGAATTCTGGGGGGATTAAAGAATTGGGAGAAGGAGTTTGAAACGGATAGTTACCATTTTCTTGGCAAAATCTGAGTGGTCTTCAGTTGTGAGGACAAGGTGAGGGGCAGGGGTAGGTGTCTTGAGGATAGAACAACAGTTTCTATGGGAAGAACAGAGGGAACCAGGAAAGACTAAAAGAGCTGGGCCACAGCAGTGATTAGACAACAGACATTTGGACGGTCCCAGACTGAACTGTTGTATGATTCCCTCCAGCCCTTGAAGCAGGAATGGACAAGGCAAACGGTAGAGTCATCTAGGCTAGGCGCAGGGCCGAGGAAGATGGAGATGAGGAGCGAGAGACTGGTAGCAGGGGAAAGGAGTTTTTCTAGAGGCAGCACCATTCCATTGTGGGAATTTGGAGCAGAAGAAGACAGGGAGGTAAAGGATAGTCAGACTACTGGATAAACAATGGATTATCAACCTCTTCCTCGTCTATCTAGTTCTTGAACAGTTTAGAGAGCACAGATTTCGAGTGGAAAGAGACCTTAGTTTAATTCCTCCCTTTTACAGATAAAGAAACTGAGGCTCAGAGAGGTAAATGACTTGCCCAGGTTTCACATAGGGAGTAAACGGCAGAGTTGGGATTTGAACCCAGGTCATCTAAACGTGAAAATTTCTAAGAGGGAGGGGAGGAGTTTCCAGAAGTGGTGTTACACACTTTTGTCTCCATATCACCTATCTTTCCAAATCTCTCTCCTCCTTTCCTTGCCCAGAGGGCCAATTCCTTACAACAAAGAATAAAAAAAGTAAGAAAAAAAAAGCAATTTAGCAAAACTAACCAACAGATCAACCAAGTGCGACAATCACTTCAGATTCCACACAAGGTCCTCTGTGTCTGGGAAGGAGGGCGGGAGGGGTGTTCTGCATCTTTTGCTTGGGATCAAACTTCATGATTCTAATGACACAGCATTCAGCTCCGATTTATTTTTGGCTGTTCTTTCCACTGACGTTGTTGTAGTCATTGTCTATGTGGTTTCCCTGGTTCTGCTCACTTCACTTTGCATCAGCTCGTATGAATCTTCCCATGCATCTCTGCATTTGTCAACCTCCTATGCTGTGGCAATCTTCCCTTCTATTCCATACCACAATTTGTTTCGCTGTTTTCCAATGCATGGGCACCTACTTTGCTACTATGACATATTTTGGTGCACATGGAACCTGTTGGACTTAGGTCCTCCTAACTCCATGTTAAGAATTCCTCTGTGTGACCTCAGGTTATTTCACTCTACCTGGACCTGTAAATTGAGGACACTCCTTTTGTCAGGAAAGCAAGAGAGGAACATATGAGTTTGAAGCTACCCTAAACACACCATCCACATTCTGCTTGAAGAATTTCCTCTAGTGGAGGAGTATGGGTGTAGAATACCGCAAATACAAGTAGACACAGTTATATATTGCTTGGTTTTCCTGAATTATTTCTCTTTCTCTCAAAGAAATCTTTGTTGCAAGTATAATGAGTATGCAAACCCCCATTATATAAGGGAAGACATACTGGGTGTGTGTATGTGTGTGGGAGACATATATATGGAAATAAATATAATGTAGCAACAAAATGTATTAAAAATAATTTTTTAAACCTCAAAAAACCTTTAAAACCACAAAAAATAAAAATAAAATGTATCAAAAAATAATTGAAAAAAAGATTGGGGAAAATGTCCCCGTTCCTTCTCAGGCTGCCCCCAATATTGTGAGGCAATGGAAAGAGTTGTAGATTTGGAGTCATAAGAACAAGGTTAGGGGATATATTTAGTACTGATGTGACCTTGGGCAAGTCATTTCCCTTTCTCTGAGTTGCTGTTACCCCCCCCCCCGTAAAATGAGAGAATATATGAAAGGCTTTCAAAGGTCTCTTTCAGCTCCAAATCTAATGGCCTCATAATTTCTGAAGAGCTAGCTGGGGAAGGGGTACAGTGTGTGACCTGGGTGCAGAGCAAGGTGAAATAGAGACAGCCAGGAACCTTGGCTTCAGTAGCCACCAGCTCTTGTTACCCTCTCCTCCACCAGGCAGCTCTGGCACTCTGCATGAACTTGACCACAACTGGGGAGCTCGCTGAAACCTCAAAGCCCCTAATTAGCACAAACCCACCCAATACCAGTCTCCAAGGGGACACAAGGGCTTTTTTTTTAAAGTACAAGGAAGAACCTTTATTACAACTTTTTTTTAAAATTTTCATTCATAGGTATACAACATCTGAGAGACAGATATGGAGGAGGGGAAGGGAAGGGATATTATTATAAAATGTCACATTTATTGCTACATTACTGTTATATACAAGACAGTTCTCAAAATCTACTTAAAAAAGTTAGGATTATTTAAAAATTCCAAATAATCCAGCCAGCTGTTTTGACACTTGTATAAAATTACTTTTTTTTAAAAATGAGAAACAAAACAAAAACCAGTCATCTTGAGGCACTCAGAGACACAATTTCCCCCTAATTGTGAATTCCCCTCCCCACCCCAATAATTTTTTTTTCCTTTTTGCTGGGTTAGGAATATATATGTGCGTGTGTATGCATACATATATATATACACACACACACATATATGCATACACATGCACATATATATTAGATAGTTCAAAACTATAATAATGTGTTATCTGATTTAAGCACAAGGTTCCTCAGTCATGAAGCACATCTGGATTTACAGGCAGGCAACATCAACACCACAACTGGGGTCCAAAGAGGACGCCAAACAGAAAAAAAATACATGCTCCCCTTCCCCAACCAAAGATTATGGGGAAAAAAACCCACAAACAAAACCAAAGAAGAAACACCACTGGTTTCTCAGTCTTCCTCCCCCCGCTTCCTCAGTCTCTTCCTGGGACCCAGGGCTCCCAAGAATTCATGGGCTGGGTGACTAGAGGGGAAAAGAGTGTGTGTGTGCACGCGTGCACGTGTCAGGGGCAGAAACTGGGGAAGTTTTGTTCTCTGCTAATGGTCTCCACTGCCCGGCTACCAGGGAGGAGGGAGGCAAAGAGGTAGTGCTTGAAGGGAGATTATCTATTTTGTCCTGTCCCACTGAAAAAATGAGGGCAAGTAGCGCTGAGGGCAGCACCCAGAGGGAGGTGCGGCTGGTGGGCAGAAGGGATCTGCTTTCTCAGAGGGTGGACACAGTTGGGAGACACTGACAGTCAGATGGCATTTTCTCTGGCCCCATGAAGCGGGAGCCCCTTGTTCTAACTATGTGAAAACAGAGGAGATGCCAGCATCTCCCTGCTTCCCAAGACCACATGTGGCAAGGGAATTACTGTTCCTCTCTCTGCTCCCTGTCCCACCTAGACTTTCAACTCCTTTTCCACAGTTTAATGCCAAACATTCTCCTACACCTGAAATTGCTGTGTGGCCTAGGTTCCCCTATCATTTGATAGAAACAGGCTTAGGCCAACCCCACCAGCTCTCCTCTGACAGCAAGCACGAAGCCCACCCATAAGGAGACAGATTCCCAGGGAACATCTTGCTTGTTACTTACTAGCTTTGTGACTTGAGCAAGTCACCTTCTCTGGGCATCAGTTCCTTTGCCTGTAGAATGACAGGCCTCTGAGATTCTTTCTATCTCCAGATCTACCAGCTTATGATCTCTTGAACGCCACTGGGACTTAAGGGCTGGCCCACTGTTAACTCCATAAAGCAGAGCATTCCCAGGCAAAAGTCCTGACCCTTGGGAGTCAAGATGAAAATGGAAGGTTGGTTCCTTTCATATGGAGTAGCTTAATTCTATGCCTGGGCTTCTCTCCAAGGTGTCCAAAGGGGAAAAGAGTGGTAGGCTTGCTTGTGATTTCCTGGCTTACACAGGAGGCAGGGGCAGCTACCCATCTCATAAAATAGAGGGCAAGAACTGGCCTCTCTCATAGAACAGGGCCCAGCTCCTCCTCCATTCCTGACCATGCAACAGTTAGGAAGTCCTTCCAGGCCAGATGTAGGTATGCCCCGACTTGACCCAGAGAAGGAAGCCTAAGAAGGGATATGGATGGGGCTCATCTTTTGTCTAGGACTGAAGGCACAGCCATCCTGGCCATGGAACCCTGGGCCACGGGGCCATGCTCGCTAAGAGATCTGAGTGATTACTATCTGGATGAGGGTGGGTACATAGGGGGAGAGTAGGGAAGGTATTAATGCTAGAGCCACATCACAGACCAAGCGACTCCCCAGTGTAGTTCTCTCCCACTTGGCAGGAAGACATTCTCCTGGGGCATATTGCAGGGTGGGCTTGGTAGTTTCTGAATGGCCAGAGGCAGCAGCTCTTAGGCCAACACCAGAGAACAATACTGCTCATCTCTTGGTAGACTTCTTACAGAGCCTGAGCTGATTCAGAAAGCAAAGCCCTATTCTAGGAACTGGACCAGGCTGGGCTTCGGCACACCTGGGACTTGAGAACTTGGGGTTCCTGGTTTTTGTGTGTGTGTGGGAGTAAGGACCAGTTATTTCTATGCTCTTGGCTATCAGGGAATGAGGATCATGAGTATGTGTGGCAAAGGGTTTGGGGGTGGGGGGGAAGGCTGTGCTGGTTGGACATGTCCTTTGTCGTCCCTACTGGGTGTGTTCAGCAGAGGTGACCAAGAAGGGTCAGCCAGGGGAGATGCGGTGTGCATCATGCAGGTTAGCTCCATATAGGGTTACATGCCTTGGCTGGCAGTGCTAGGCAAGGGATCATTCTTTATCGGGGTGGGGGATATCTTCCAAGATTTTCTCCCCAACTCAGCTACAGGAAAAGAGCCAGGGGTCTCTAAGAACAAGAGATGTTTCAAGGGTCTTGATGACTGGTCCCTTCTTGGGAAAGCTGTAATAATGAATTGTTTGCCTGGCACCTATGTCCCTGGATTATGGAATCCAAGCTCCTTCTGATGGCTTTCTTGAAGAGAAAGGGGCAGCGGGGAGGCTATGCTACTATTCAAAGACTGGTGGTAGGAGAGAGAGGGCAGAGAAGGCGGCCGTCACTGACACAGAGATTCCCAACAGACCCTCCTTCACAGGATCAAGTCTGGAAGCAAACTTTCCAACATGAGTTGGGGTAAGTCCCACTGGGCGAGACAACGTGATGTGAAGCTTTCTAGCCAAGAATCGAGTCAGGCTCTCCCCTGAAGCCTGAATCTAGCAACCCTCTGGCAGAAACAAGGGAGCCAAGCTCGTCTAGTCCTCCTCCCCACTCAGCTGGTGACCCTCCTGCTTGATCTGGGTCCATGTCCCCAGCAAGGCTCCTTTCCATCCGAAGTCATGGTCTTCTCATAGTATATGGACAGGGTCCTAGACGCAGGATTTCACTGATTGAGGACACTCCCTCTGCCATTGGGGTACTGGCATCTTTTCAGCAACTTGTGGTCTTAGAACCCAACATAGAATTGGTTGAAACGGCCTCTAGATCGTGACTGGATCTATGATTTCACTGCTTTAGGGAAACCACTACACTGGGTCAGATATGTCTCTTCCTTTTCTGCATCTTGGTCAGAACTGCCTTGTGACTTGACCCAGGACACACAAGCCAGGATGGGGTAGAGGTGGGTAGATGGGAGAGAGGCAGCCAGGTATGGTGGATACAGGGAGGACTATGCCAGTTTACACTTTTTGGTGGGAAAGGGAGGAGGGAGAGAGAAAGAGCAGCAATGTTTGTGGTCCCCCCTCCCAGCCCCATCTAGTCCTGAAAAACTCCCTATACCAAGAAACCAGGGAATGGAGAGCCTTAAGAAGCTCAGCCTCTGGGAATCCAGAGGAGGGAGCAGGGAGAGAAAGCAAGCCCTCCCTCTGCCCACTTCCTCCCAATCCGAGGTGGCTCAGAGCAAGGTGTGTTTAGTCCATGAACTTGACATGGAAGATAGATGTAAGACATAGGGAACACAAGACTGGGACAGCTGGGGTGGGTGGGGAGGAGGGAGCAGAAAGGGGCCTTGGAACAGATTTAAAAATAACAACACAGGAAAAAGTCCCCTAAATAAAACCACTAAAAAAAAAATCAAGCCCAAACAGAAAAAAAACAAGATGAAACTAAGAAACAGCCACATGGCTCCATTCACACTGAGCGGCTTCCCGAGGAGTCAACCTTGCTTTTTAACCCAGTCTCTTTTTAATACAACTTTTAATAATCTGGTTGATCGTAGAGAGGCAACATTTAACTATAGAAACAGCAGCAGAAAAGCATGGGACACAAGACTTGTTTTTTTTTTATACAAAAAATTTGTTGCTTACAAAACATATGCAAAAGAAGCTTAAAAAAAATCCCAAAGGTATCGCTATTTTCTTCTACATAAAAAATCTCATAACTAATGTTCTTTTATTCTCCTTTTAAAAAAAACAAAACAGCAAACAGAAATAAGAGGCTTAGGCACAATTTGCTGCTGGCTGTTTGTGAACAAGCCAAGTTTAACACAGCATCTCCCCTTCTTAACTGAGTGATATGTATTGACTCTTCCATTCTTTATACTTAAGGCAATTTTTTTGACGAAGTGTTTATTTTCTCTCCTTCTTTCCTTCTTTTTCCCCCTTTCTTTAAAAAAAAAACCAAAAACCAAAAACCAAAACCAAAACATCGCTCCTTACGGCGTGTGCCAGGGTCTCCCATCTTGGGGGCAGGTGTCGGCGGGAGGAGGGCCAGGATTTTCCACTTTTGGAAGATGGGTGAGTCACAAGGCTTCCTGGGGTGGCGGACCTAAGAGAGAAAGAAAGGGCCAAAGAGCCCGGTGAGATGGGAAGGTGAGAAGGCATGTCATAATGGTCAAGTAACAGCGTTGGGAAGGTCTTTACAACATGGAATTTCCTCGCTGAGAAGGACCTTAGGGCATAGAATGTCAGAGCTGAAGGCTGATGGGCCATCCTGCTGTACTCAGCCCTGGTCAGACCACATTTGGAAAACAGTGCTCAGATCTGGAGACCATCATTTAGAAAGGGCAGTAATAAGCTGGAGGGAGGCTGGAGAAAGCTCATGGGATCATAGGATTCAGACTCTCAAGGGACCAGAGAAGCCAGCCAGTCCAAACCTCTGATTTTACAGATGTGGCAGAGGTAGTGAAAAGACCTGAATGCAGGCTGTATAAGAGCCAAATGAAGGAACTTGGAAGGAAGGGGGTGTTCATTCTCAAGAGGAGAAGACTCCAAGGAAACATGGTACCCATCTATTGGGAGAGGATGTCCTAAGGGGCAGAACCAGTAGCGAAGAGGCTGCTAAAAGGTGGATCCTAGGCTCTTCACGCATGGAATGGACCCCTTTGGGAGGTGGTGGGTTCCCCTTCCTCAGTGGTCTACAAGCCAAGGCTGGGTGACTGCTTGTCAGGTGACTCTCGTTGCCAAGAGGGTCTCTTGGTAAGGTATAGCTAGATACAGGATATAGATAGGGTCCTTCCAACCCTGTGGTTCTGCGATCCTCAAGAATGCAGAATGTCAGGGCTGGGAAGGACCCCAGAGGAAGTGAGGCAGTGTGGTGCTATGTTTGGAGTTGGAACACCTGGGTTCAAGTCTCAACCTGCAACCCTTACTAGCTCTGTGACTTTGGGCAAATTATTTAACCTCCTTGCATCTCAGTTTCCCCATCTATAAGACTGGTGGGGGTTGGGAAGAGGGTGCAGGACTAGATAACCTCTGGGAGCCCTTCTAGCTTTACAGCTAGGGCTCTAGGAGAAAGACACACAAGTGACCCCAGAGGTCCTTCATGTAGATGGGTGGGTACCAGACCCCACTGGAGAAACATAAGCAATTGGTATTTCTGGACCATGTTTTAGACATAACCACTTCCGTGCCACATCTCCATTTCCTTTCTGTATTCTGGCTCACCTACCTGAACCCTCTTGTCTCTAGCCTTTAGTGTGGGGCCTCTGGGGGTGGTCAGAGGGCGGAGCTAACCTCTCCTCCCAGAGAATGATTCAGGAGCACAGGATGATAGCTGCCCGAGGGGACAGGGACGGCAGGGATGGAGGTGGGTGTATTGGAACAGAGCTGGCTTTGCTTTGGCCCCAGACCAAGAGCTGGCTGTGTCATGGGCAATGAGTGTAAAGAAGGGCCCAACAGGTTTCCTTCCATTGCCCAACCTCTCCTGGGCTTGATTCTGACAACCATGAGGTCATGAATTCAGACCAGAGAGGGTAGTAGTGTGGGGGTGGGGGTTTGTGAATGTACACACCTAGGCGCACTCCTGTATGTGCAGATTTTCGACTCAATAAGAAAACTTTCCTAATGATTGGATGTAGAATGTAGAATGGGCTAGGCTGAGATAGACCTCTGGACATGGAGTCTGGCAACCTGAATTCAAATCTGACCTTGGACACTTTCTAGCTGTGCAAATCACTTGTCTGCCTCAATTTCCTCAATCATATAAAAAACTATAAAACCTGTAAAAATAAATAGAACCTTCGCCTTATGGATCCGTCGTGAGGATAAACTGAGATAATGTCTGTAAAGTGCTGTGCAGACTTTCAAGTGCTACATAAATAATAATAATTATCATTATTAGGAGGTGACCCATGCTCCCTCTGCAGGTTGGCCCAGATGTTCACTGAGGCTTCTGATTCTGTGATGAAGGGAATCCACCTTCTCTAGGCCCCCTGCCTCTGGCTCAGTGTCTTGCTGAAACCAAGATGGATGGTTGTTCATGGGATTGTAAGAGTTGGATCTGGAGAGACCTTTATAAATCATCCATATTTTACGGATAAGGAAACTCAATGGTCTGGGATGGTGGAGTATGTGGAGTGGCCTCCAAATCCCCCAGGCAGTTTGCTTCAACTCAAACCCCAGTACTTGGGTTCTGGATTTGGGCACCCTTCCTACCACACTGGACTGTCCTGCCCACTTTTACTGGGGGAGGAGGTGAAGCCAGAAGATCTGGATCCAGCCTGGAATGTCCTAACCAGGTAATTCTGAGAAAGTCATTTCTCTCTAAGCCTCAGTACCCCTTCTCTAAAATGAGGCCAGTATAGTGGTGCAGTGGAGATAGCGCCAGGCCTGGAGTTGGGAAGACCTGAGTTCAAATCCATCTTCAGACACTTACTGGTCATGTGACCCTGGGTGAGTCACTTCACCCTTTTTGCCTCAGTTTCCCCATCTGTAAAATGAGCTGGAGAAAGGAATGGCAAACCACTCCAGTATCTTTGCCAAGAAAACCCTATGTAGGGTCGAGAAGAGTCAGATACAACTGAAAACAACTAAACAACTATTCATTATTCTGTCTACCCCCACTGAGGCTATATTGGCTGAAAAATAACCATAAGCTAGATCGTGTGGACAGAAGAGAAGGAGCCCTGACTCTGAGTCCTGGCTCTAGTACTTAATAGGATAGGAAGCCATGTGGATTCTTTTATCTCCCCAAGCCTCATCTATAAAACGGAGGTTAGAAAATTTGCACCTCCTTCCTAGGAGAGCCACTGGGGGGGGGAGGGAAGGAATTTGTCAGCTGGAAAGCTTTCTAGTTAGGGCGTTATTGTCACTGTTGTCCAGGATCAGAGACAGCTCAGCCCAGTTCACTGGGTGGGTTCTAGTATTGAGGTCGGATCCAATTAACTCTTCCTATAAACAAAACTCATCTTCTTTTACTCCATCCGTAGGGGAGAAGAGGGATAGCCCTTTTAGGGAGGAGTCATTTTGGGGGTGGCAAGCAAATGGCTGTAAATTCTGAGGAGAAAACTGGGGGGCTCTGAAGGAGGGGGAGGCCATCAAGTATCTGCCATCTCATCCAGCAGCTGACCAAACAAACAAGTCGTGCCATCCCTCCGGGAGGAAGAGACACACCCCAGCTAGAGCTGGAGGCTGTTGCTCTAAGGGGCTGGGTGCCGCTCTACATACCACAAGGATGTGTAAGGTCCAGGTGCTTTCTGGGGCCATGTTTTTAAATGATGGTGTGTTATCTCTTACCACATACAGACTACTCTCAGTTATCTGCAGGGGGGAGGTAGATACAGATAACCCTGAATACTCAAAGATCTAAACTAATGGTTTGGATAAGGCAACCTAAGCTCACAGAATGCCAGTTCTGGAAGGGCTATTAAAGGTTATTTAATCCAACCCTTTCATTTTACTGATGGGGAAACTGAGGCTAAGAAAGGGTAAGTGGCTTGTTTGTGGCATTAAGCGACTGAGCCAATATGGCGCTCCTTCCAGCACCGTGCCTGGAACACAGCAGGCACTTAATAAATGCAGTCTGTCGATTACATTCCACCTCAGTATCAGGAATTACTGAACACAGCTTAGCCTTTACCAGACGGCACAGAAATCACATCAATAATAACAGGAAGTGTTTATATAGCGCTTTAGAAGTATTACCTCATTTGATCCTCACAATACCCCTGGAAGCAGGTGCTACTATTGTCCCTGTTTTGCAGATAAGGCAACTGAGGCAGACAAAAGCTAAGTGACTTGTTCAGGGCCACTCAGCGAGGTAAGAGTCTGAGGCCAGATTTGAACTTGGGTCTTCCTGACTCCAGGCCCAGCGCTCTATCCACTGTGCCTCCTCATTCTCAACACCAGTTACCAGGCAAGGTTAGAATATTGTGAGGCCTGTGGGGCCAAACTACTCTTTGTTTTGAGTTATCATATGTGCTTTTCAAATCCTGACCTTTATGGGCAGCATGATCTGGGGCAAGTCCCTTAGCTTCAGTTATGATATTATAATTATATAATATTATTATGTATAAAATATAATATTACATATTATGGTTACATTTTATATATGTTACATATATCACGATAAACCTGCACGGTTATTGTGAAGATCAAATCAGATGATATTTGTAAAGAGTTTTTCAAACTTTAAAGCATTAATAACTAGTACTACTATTACTAAATATCACATATTCTTCTGCCTCCTACCTCAGACTATGATCAGTTTAACAACTTCTAGCATAGTTCCCCCATATCTCCTTTCTCAATTGACTGTGGGTTTGGCAACAAGATAGCCCAGCTGGTTATATCTTTATGTAAAGTAACAGTAAATATTTCCCTGAATGAAGATCTGGTTTTCTCTTATGAGTGTCTGCACTTTGGTGCACGGCCTTACGCCCACTATCTTGGCTGCCCACAGGGATTTCTGGTGGGTCACCAGATATGAGAAGTCACCAGCTGAGTGAAACATTAGTTATAGCTATAATCAGGGAAATCTATATAACAAGGACAAGGTTTGGGGGGTTTTTAGGAAGCCCTCCATGCTGACTTCAAAGTCTTCATATGAACAGATCTGTGGTTTGCTTGACTCAACTTGACCCCAAGAGCTTTGCTATCCACACATCTCATTTTTCTTAGAATCTGACAGAGACATCATCCTTTTCCTGATCTGACAAATTGTATTTGAAAATGTACAGGGCGCTTTACTTGTGTTATTTCATCTTAGCCTCACAAGCAGCCTGGGAAGTAGGCATGACAAGGATTCTTACTGTCAGCACCAAAACTGGCACCGGAACCTGGCCTTTCCTGACTTTAAGGTGGCTACCTGCTCACATGCCCTATGCAATGGGGCTGTCCTGCTCCTGCTGAGAGCAGGACCAGGATGCTCCGAGATGGGGCTGGATGGCTGAGGGAGGCTGCCTGGGATTGGACTCACAAAGGGGTCCAAGCAAAACCACAGAATCCAAGTTGGAAGAGACCCCAGAGTTGCCCTGGTCCAATCTGCCACCCAACAGGGCTCTCCTGCATCCTCACCCTTTCTGCTCCTGGACCAACAGTCATCCAGTCCCTGCTTGAAGACCCCCAATAAGGGCCAGGGGATCCACCGCTTCCTGAGGTGGCCTATTCTAGTCCTGGATGACTTGAATTGTTAAGAAATTTTCCCCAATGTCAAGCCTAAACTTTGCCTTTAAAAAACACCCCCTCATTGCTCCTGGTTCTAATCCTTCTTAATCCTGATGCCCTTCAGATACTGGAGAGACGGTCGTCACGTGCCCTGAATGCTCTCTTCTCTATTTTAAACACTCTCACTTCCTTCTGATGATCCCCATGTGACCTATACTCAAGGTCTTTCACCACGCTAGTCACCCTCTTATGGACACTTCAGCCATTAATGTCCTAAAATGTAGCAAACATGGTATTATAGATGTGGTCAGTGGGCCCAGTATCTCTCTCTCTTTTCGCTTTTTTGGTGAGGCAATCAGAGTTAAGTGACTTGCCCAGGGTCACATGGCTAGTAAGTATAAAGGGTCTGAGGCTGGATTTGAACTCAGGCCCTCCTGACTTCAAGGCTGGAGCTCTATCCACTGCCCCACCGAACTGCCCCTAGGGTCCAGTATCTTTCAATGCAGCCCGAGATGGTCTGAGCTTTTGGGGCTTACGCCCACATCCACATCCACTCACACATTTGGGCATGTACACACATACATATATGCCACTCACACACACACACACACACACACACACACACACACTACATATGTGACATAGGCATGTGCACACACAACAATGAATCCCATGATTGCAGCCCACTCAAACTCATCTACAGCCCACCGTATCACCCCCTTCTGGTCCTTAAGAAGTTGATTTTTTGCACCCAAGTGTGAAACTTTCCGTTCGTCCCAACCAAATCCCAGCTCAGTAGATTTTGGTTCAGTGTTGCAGCCTTTCTGGGAGCCTGACCACGGCACCTAGTGTGGTCGCTCTGAGTCATCTCACTTGGTGGCTATCCAAATAAGCGGAGGCACTAAATGATGACTAACTCTATCAAGAGGACAAGCTGCATGGCTAAGTGGAGAACTTCTCCAAATAGTATTTGGAAGCTCAAGGCATGAGTCTTGGAGGTAGGGCAGGCGCTTCAGGAGACAGGGCAGATGCTGTACCTTTTTACATGTGTCCAACAGGGTTGTGACCGTCTCCTAGCCCCGGATGACCGGCTGAAAGCGTCATCTGAGGATCACCGACCACTCCGGACACTTTCTCTTCTTCCCGACGCTTCAAGCAGGCAGCTTTGGGGTTCAGATTGCGCTCTGTTGAGACAAGGGGCAAAAACACAGACCCAATGGGGAGACGCCTGAGGAAGAAGCAGGGAGTTAAGAGCTGGGCCTTCTGGCCAAGACTAACAAGTGGATGGGAAAGAGAACAGGACAGAGTGAGCTAGAGACAAGGCAGGGTTGGGGGCTCTGCCTCCACATGAGAAGGAGGGAAGGTAGGCAGCAAGGAAGGAAAGAAGAAAGGAAAGGGTCTGAAAGAAGTTCTTCTTGGGGCTATTCTCTCTGGGGGAGGCACTCCCTCCCTCCCATCTAAAACACCTGTCCTTCCCCTACCAAGGCCTACCTCACTCTGCCCCAGGGAGAGTTAACCTTGGGGGGAAGAAAGAGACAGAAGTGATTATTGGTACTGCATTCTATGCCAAAGGGTCATCATCTAAAGCTGGGCCCTCAGAGATCACTGAGGCTAATCGTCTAATTTTAGACACGGTCATGGGGGCCCTAAATCATACAGGGAGCGAAGGGCAGAAACCCAGGTCCTATAATTCCAAAACCAACGTTCTCTCCACTGTATCATGCACCACGGCCTAGCCAACAAGCATGTAAGTGCCTACTGTGTGCCAGGCACCGTGCTATACCCTGGTGAAGTCACAAAGTCTGAGGAGAATGCTACAGGTCCCCCCCTTCCCCCATCAGTCCACTGTCCAGTCTGAGGCAGGTAAATGTTCTGGTGTCTACGGCTCCACTCACACCCCACCAGGAGTAGGTTTTTCACATTTGGGAAGGCCAGTGACAAGCTGGAATGCATCCAGGGGAGGGAGCATGGATGGTGAAAGAAACAGAACCCAGGCTATAGGTGAAGAAAGTGAGGTTGATTAGTCTGGAGAAGACAAGACTTAGGAAGAATGTTCAAATTCACTTCAGCTCAGCCTCCAATACTCTGTGTTAACTCAGCCCTGACCTCAGGGAGCTTACATTTCTACTGGGCAGAGGGAATACATACATGGATAAGGAATGGTGGAGAGATGAAGGGGCAGACACCAAAGTACTTCTGGACTATTTGGGTAGGAGAAGGGAGAGCGAAGGGAAAGGCAGAGAGCAGGCACGAAGAGCTGAGGGAATCAGAAGAGGTTTCACAGAACAGGGAGCTCCAGGAAGAGACGGGAAGTGAAGGAAGACAAAGATTCTGGCAGACAAAGACCAGCTACATGGATGGATGGATGGATGGATGGATGGATGGATGGATGGATGGATGGATGGCCTGCAAGAAAGCATGAAGCGGAGTCAGGTAGGAGGCACAGTGGATAGAGTGCTGGCCCTGAAATCAGGAGGACCTGAGTTCAAATCCGGCCTCTGACACTTGACACTTACTGGCTGTGTGACCCTGTGCAAGTCACTTAACCCCACCGACTAGCCAAGAAAAAAAAAACAAAGAAAAGAAAATGTGGAAGGGTGAGGGCTGAGGGGCTTCAGGGCTCGTTGAGGCCAAGACAGGGAGACATAGAGCGAGGAGGGTATTAACCCAGTTTGTCTAGAATACAGAGTAGTTCATGAAGTGAATTATTTGACATAAAGCTAGAAATGTAGTTTCGAAGATTGTGGAAGCCTTACACTTTTATTTGACCCCCACAGGAAGTTCCTGAAGCTTTGTGAGCAGGAGGGGAACACTTAGACCCATGCCTTAGAAAGACATTGCTGAGCTTTTGCACCTGGGCGGCCAGGCTCTGGCCTCCTTACTTCTCCTGGAATCACACCCTCCATCTCCTGACTCTGGACATCTTCAGCTCATGCCTGGAACTTTCTCTCTCTTACCTTTCCTCAAACCCCAGCTAAAGTCTCACCTTCTGCAAGAATCCCCCTTCCTGTCACTGCTTCCCTCTGCTGATCCGTACATTGTCTCTCCCATTAAGACGGTGAGCTCCCGGAGAACAGAGACCGTCTTTCTGTAGTTGTAGCTCTGACATTTGGCACAGTGCCTGGCACATGGGAGTTATTTAATAAATGCCTGCTGACTGAAGAAGGGACGGTGACACAGTCAACATTAACAGGAGGGTTCTGCAGGGAAGGACAGGAGTTTGGGGTGAGGTAGGGGGCAAGGAAAACAGAAAGAGTTCTATACTTTGACATACTGAATCTGGGATCCCACTGGCACAGCCAGATGAAGATGTCTGAGCTTGGGCTGGAGTTCAGAAGAAAGAACAGGGAAAGCGGGGCTCACCAGAGAGATCTGAGCCCCCAAAGAAGGGTGATAACTGAGGTAGGGGACCAAATGAGATCATGAGGGTGAGAGAGAAGAGGAAGAAGGCTCAAGATGGAGCCTCAGGGGGATGCCCGTGCTCAGCAGGCTAGAAACGGACGACAAACCAGCGGCCGCATGGGAACAATGCATGCGCGCGCACACACACACACACACACAGATGTAGACACCTCTTTGTGTGCACGAGACAAGCACACCCCCCCCCCCAACACACAGCGACAGATGCACACAGACAGGCAGGTGAGCGACTCTGGGCAGGGAGGGCTCCTGGCGGCGAGGGGACCGTACCTCGCACTTGCTGCTCGAGGCCCAGAATGACCTGCACGGCTTGTTGGAGGATGATCAGTTTGGTCTGTGCTTTGTCCGATTTTAAGTGCATCTGACACATGCGGCCCAGCTCTTTGAAAGCCTCGTTTATGTCCCGCACGCGCACTCTCTCCCTGGCGTTATTGGCCATCCTCCTCTCCCGGTCCCTCAGATCCTTCTCTTCCAGTGACAGGGCCTCGTCAGTACTGCTGGGTTCACAGCACCAGAGGCATTAGTCAGGGAGGGCAGGCTCTCTGAGGGGCTGGCTGATGGGGCAGGGTGGGCATGGGGAGGGAGATGGGGCCCAGAAGGTTGCCACCTGGCCCGGTCGGCACCCCTGCCTCGGGGCCAGCTAAGACCTTTGGCAAGGACCCGGCTGGACTGGGCGTGAAAGCTGGGAGACTAGAATCGGGCCCGTAAAGTAGACTCCAGCCTGCAGTTTCAAGGAACGGGGTGTTGGTGTATGTGCGTGCCCACAGACGTGTATATGGCCGCATGTGCATGGTTGGAAGGTGCTTGTCCCCATCTGTGAGTGCTTCTGTATGTGTGAATAAATGAAGATTTAAACCAGGGTTGGAGCCCATGGCAAGGTTAAGGGAGGCAAGAGGCAGGGAGGCTGGCCTTGACCAAGACGTGACCCATCTGCATGAAGGTGGCCAACTCTGAGCCTCTTCCTTCTCAGCTCAAGGCTAACTGAACACAACTGTCTGGCAGAGGCCCACCCTTGGGGCTGCCACCTTCTGAGGGAGACTTAGCTAGGGGATCAAGTGGTGGTGGGTGTGCAGCCTCCTAATCTGATTACTAATTTCCCTTTTCCCTGGATAACTTTTTCCTCCCAGAGCAAAATTCTTGCTAGGATTCACAACTCAGCATGGGCTACGGATCACTTTTCTACCAAATGGAGTACATTTGGTACCTTTGGTGGCTTCATGCCTGGGATGGCCCAGCCTTCACAACCTGAAGGTGTGCTGTATATAGGGGGGCTCTCTGCCTGGCAAGAAGAGTAGGTGGTCTCAACTGGTCTGTCAAGGTCAGGGCTTCCTCCCTGACTGCTCTGTAGATCTTACAAGCACTAGTGAAAAGGGTACCCTTGTCATTACTATTAACATGAATCACTATAATAATTATTGCAAAGTTTGGAGGATTCAAGCAACGGATCACAGGATCGGGAATGCAGAACTGGACATCAGAAATGATGGAGTCAGCCAGCCACGGAGCCCAAAAATCACAAACCACAGATCCCATGGAACGAGGCCTGTAACCTGTAAAGGATGCCTTCCAAGATCAACTGGACAGCTCCAGACCAGTGCCTGCATACAGGAGGCTGGCTGATGGCCATCTACCTGTTCTTATCTGCAAACTGTCATCCAGGGACACTAACCCCAGGATCCAGCATGAAGGAACTTGGGGCCTTCTGAGTCAACCTCCAAGTCTGAGGACCGTCTAAGCCTGTTATTGCCTTGGGCCAGCTGGCTCTAGCTTCTGGTAGATAACATGCCTGCCTCTAGCTGCTAAGATGGGGGAAGGGGGTGGCATCCCACCCACATCCCAGCCAGCACCCTGAGCTCAAACCCTTCCACATGCCATCTTGGGAAGTAGGCATAAAATAGGACAACAGCAGAAGACCAAAGTGATCATGGCCAACGGTGATTTGTTTCATCTGGATTGGTTATCTTTCCCCCTTCTCCCACCATCCCTTGTTTTGGAAGAGAATTTAGGTTTGGATGCCTGGCCCTCAACTTCGATCCTGCCCCGGCCCGGGCTCCGTCTCCATCAGCAAGTACCAGGTAGGGAGTGGGCCACCGGGGGGTCGGCTGGGGACTGTCTGTGGGAGATTGGAAAGAAATCAACGGGGGGAAAAGGAAAAAGAGTGGGAGAGAGAGAGAAGAAAAGATGAGAGAGAGAAGGTGAATGAGCAGGGTGGGGAAGGGGGCAGGGATTATCAAACACACATTGCAACAAGACGCAAAATATTACAAAACAAGAGAGGCACAGGTAAAGTCCAAATGCCATGATGGGACAGCGGAGGGCAGGCAGAGGGAGGGAGGCTGGCTCAGGCCCCAGGCCTGACATTCCAATCCGAGCAAAAGTGCTGCAGGGAAGAAAGAGTTAATGCGGCAGGAGGGATTTTTTTTTTGGGGGGGAAGCGGGGGGGGGGGGGGATGGGCAGAACCCAAAAGGAGAGGAAGGGGTTAATGATGAAACGCATAGGTTCCAGACTTGAAAGGCAGGGGAAGATAGAGACAGAGAGGTAATTGCTCCAAGAGGTGGCCTGGGGGGAGTAGAAAGAACTCTAGGTCTAGAGTCAAGAGCCCTGGGTTCAAATCCTAGTTCTAACTGCTTATTGAGTGAGCCTGGTCAAGCAGTTTCACCTCTCTGTGCCTCAGTTTCCTCCATCGGTAAAATGGAGATAATGATGCTTGGGAGAGGCAGGAGCACATAGCAGGGAAAAGCCCTCGATTTGGAGTTACAGGACAGAGAGTCTGAATCCTAGCTCTGCATCTTACTAGCTGTGTGACTCTGAATGGGTCCCTTCCCAGCTTTGCACCTCAGTTTTCCCCATCTGTAAAATGGGAGGGGGGGGAAATTTAGATGAGATGACCTCTAAGTTTTCTATTATGATCTCTGCTGGAGGCCAAGAGAGGTCAGGAAGGTGGGTTTTAAAACCCAGAGGATGCACATTTTCTGAGTGAACTGAATGATAACTCAGGGGAGAAGAATGGCATCTCTACGACCAGGAACAAGATTTGGATGGGCTCCCATGACACACTGGCCAGCAGCAGCCAAACTGGACTCAGGAAAGAGGCCATCCAGGAAACGACACCTTGTGTTCTGGGCGTGAGTCCTATCCAGAGCCTGCTATGGTGCATGCATGCGGGTGCGTGTGCGTGTGCGTGTAATGTTGCACAGTCTCCACCATCTGACCACCCTCCCCAACAGAAGGAAGCAGAATATCCTTCAGGCCAATCCCAGGGCTTCAGCAGGGCCCTCCACCCCTGCCCTACCTCCAGCTACCAAAAGCTGGAAAGCCTAAAGCACCCAGGGCTACAGTCTAAGACCCAAAACATGTGAGGTATGGTTTTAAATTCAGACTGACCCCCCTGGCTACCCCAGCCCCTTCCGGCAGATACGTGTGTATGGCGGGGGGGGCCCAGCTCAAACACTCAGCTGAGGTTTCTCATGACGTCAAGGCCCTTATTCTAGGCATTCTATAGAGGGTCTGGTGGGTTACGTGTACATGACTCAGTGAGGGAAGACAGGGAGAGAAGCAGGAGTGGGAGGGGGAGGGAGTGCATCAGGGAAGGAGAGACGGTAAGCAATGAAGGGGCTGGGAGGCCCCCGGGGCAGGCCCAGGAGCTGCAAGGCAGCCAGACAGCCAGACTAACGGCCAGACAGACAGACAGACAGACAGCCCACGCCGGCCGGCTCCGTCCCAACGCTGGCCCCCAGCACCGCGGGCCTCTCACTGACCTCGCACTTGCTGTTCCAGGTTCAAAATAACCGACACGGCCTGGTGGAGAATTAGAAGTTTGGTCTGCGGTTTTTCACTGTTAAGGTGGAGTTGGCACATGCGCCCGAGCTCTTTAAAGGCCTCGTTGATGTCGCGGACACGGAGGCGCTCACGGGCGTTATTGGCCACCCGCCTCTCCTTCTCTCTCTCCGCTTTCTGCTCTGGGGGGAGAAGGTCGTCCTCCTCATCCTCATCTTGACTAGGGGGTTCCGAAATAAGAGAACGAGACAGGGAACATTCTCCGTGGGTGCCCTCTGGGCTTGGGGCAGGGGACCCCAGGCATCCTGTCCTGGCACCCAGCTTGCTGGGACTCTGAACCCCAGCCCTGTTGTCCTCCCCACCTTCTGAGTGCCTCCTGCCATCTTGCCATGGGAGAGTGTGTGTGTGTGTGTGTGTGTGTGTGTATGTGTATGTGTAGCAGTTATCAGGAGTGTATGTGTGCATGCATGAGGGTGAAGGCAGGGTTACCAGTACAGGTAACCAGGGACACCCACCTAACCTATGGAGGAATGTGTGCACGTGTCAGGGCACTGGACAGGCAGCTATTGATGTGTGGGTAGGGAAGTAGGGCACAGGGCCCTATGTTGCCTCCTCTACCCAGGGCTTGGGGTAGGGGAGAGGAGCCTTGGGGCCTAAGGGAGCCAAGACACAGGGTAGGATGAAGTTAAAAACAGGATCCCTTTTACATACGGCCCTTGGCCTGTGGCTGAGCCAAGGTTAGGCCGCCACCCTCCCCTGTGGGCCATGAAATGTGATTAGGAAGCAGGAGGGGAGAAGGGGCAGGGAAGTCCCGCAGAGAGGGATCAGCTCCCAGGGGGCACCTTGTTCTAGTCCGGGAGGGTTTCATCTCCTTCTTCTCCTCCTCCGAGTTGTCTGCCACCGATGTGTTCTCCTCATCTTCCTTCTCTTCCCTCTTGATCTCACTAGTTCCCGAAGAAGCGCCAGCTCTCCCCAGCCCCGACGTCAAGCCTGCAGCGCGGGGCAGAGATCCGGTGAGAGACAGAAGACCAAGCTGCTTCCATGTCCTACCCGCCCGAGACAACAGCACAGAAAAGAGAGGGCGCCCTGGACTTGGAGGCAGGAGAACTGGCCGATGGGCACACGTCAATCAACAAACATTAAGTACCTACCATGTGCCAGGCACCGTACAAAAAAAGGCAATAGGTGGTCCCTGTCCTCAAGGACTTTACAATCTAACAGGGAAGACAACCAGCGAAGAAATACATACCCAGCAAGCTCTACACAGGAGATAATTGACAGAGGGAAGGCAGAAGAATTAAGAGGGCTTGGGACTTAAAGGAAGCTAGGGAGGCCAGGAGGTGGAGATGAGAAGGGAATGCATTCCAGGCACGGGGGAAGCCAGAGAAAATGCCTCCACACATAGAAGGTCTTGTTTGTGGGACAGCCAGGAGCCCAGTGTCCCAAACTCCACAGTGGCTGCTCTCAACGTCCTCTCTCACTCCTCCCTCAGCCAAGAACCTCACCTCACACCTTACAGAGAAAACCCTCACCACCCACTGAAGCCATCCTCCTTTTCTCTGCCAAATTCCATCAAACAGCTATGTTCAAAATGCCTCCACCTCCTCTGCTCTCTCTTTCAAACCCTTCGAAATTGGCTGCTGGCTTCACTATCTGACTGAAGTCACTCTCTCCCAAGCTGCCAATGATTTCTGAATCACCTACAGTGCCTCTTCTGAAACGCCATTCCCCATCTCTTTATCTTCCTGCTGGCTGACCTCTATACCCAGAATGCCCCCTTCCTCACTGCCATCTCTTGGAATTCCTGGTTTTCTTCAAGAATCATTTCAAGGTCCACCCATGTTCTGCATGAATGCCTTCCTGAACCCCCCACCTCCCAATTCCCTCCCAAACTCCCTGGCATTCATCTAAGTACATATTCATGTATTGTCTTATACGTCCATATTCTGCTTCCCCCCTTCCCCCCAATTCAAGTGGAAGCTCGTTGAAGGCAACCTGGTGGCACTAGCATCTCCAGCTAATTTTCTGGCTTGAGAGACAGAAGGCCTTTTGCCTCTCAAGGCCTTTTCCTCCCCTATCCTTCCACTCCCCTTTCTAGCACCCGTGTGGCCTTACCGCTATAAGCATCCTGCTGTCGAGTGAGGTCAGGGAGTGAGCCAGGCTGGGAGGGGAGTGACACGTGGTTGTGAAGGAGACCGGAGTTGCTGGGGAGGCCATCCTCAGTGTGACTGCCCCCTACCTACAGGACAATCAGAGGAATGGGCCCAAGAACGTGGTCCCTGCTGCACCTTCCCCCCCCCCCCACCTATGATCAAACACTTTGGCTACAGGTTGAGGACCAGGCAAAACCCCTCCCCAACCCATTCCAAATGGAGCAGGGGATGAGGGCTCAGGACACTGATGCTCTGGGCTAAAGCCCACTGCAGGGGTGGGGAAGGCCTGGGCCTGTGTCTTTGTCCTCCACTCTTCCTAATCCGGGAAGAGGGTTAAAAGCTACAGCAAGGCACAGGGGATTAGATGAGAAGGTTGGAGTTTGACTCCCAGCAGGCACTGTGCTTCATCCCTTCTCTAATAAGGCCTCTCACCGTTGCTTATTCTATCAAATGAGGGGGCAAGTCAGACTTGTATTGTGGGTTCCTTTCTAAGGGTGGAGTAAGATGGAAGCCCTAGAGGTAATCTCCCTGGGAGCCCAGATCCAGGGCACGTCCCCAGCCAGCTCTGGGGTGGGCACCCACCCTGCCTCATTTGGCCCCTGCTCACCAAGCTTGAGTGCCGCCCCACCAAGGGCATGACAGAGGTGGAGAAGGCCTGGCTGAGGGTGCCCACGGCACCACTGTGCCCTGGTGTGCCCCCAAGAATGCCATGCATGTCTCCTGTCTGCCCCACGGCATGACTCCTCAGCACATGGATAGCTTCGTCTAAATGATCTTCCATCTTGTTTTGCTGTTGGGGGTGAAGAGGTAGTGAGAAGAGGAAGGAAAGAGGAGGCGGAATTAGGGTTTTCCCTGCTGCCTCCTCCTCATTCCCCGCTGTCCTGCTGAAGCCAGAGAGGGTGTTGGGCTGACTGTCCAGTGTGGCTTATTTCCCCTCCCAGCTCATGTTTTGTGGCTCTGCGAAAGGGAACCCTACAGTCCTTGGTGGGGGGGGGGGAGGCCTTTCCCTAGGCTGTAGAATAGCAACCCATCCTTGCCTCTGAGAAGCCAAGAGAATGAAGGAGAAAGGCCGTTCTAAGGTCCTGGTATTCAAGAGGTAGTCCCTCTGTCTGTCTCACAGTCTTCCTATTAATGTCGGTACAAATACACGTACCCCCACCTACCCAGGTACCCCTACACACACAGGCACGGGTATGGGGGAGGGTATTTGGGCCACAGGGTCTCTTTCTTTGGACACTGAAGGACACTCTCCTATTTGGAGGAGAGGCAAGAGGGAGCCTAGGACAGCCCCTCTGAATCCTCCATGGGTCTCCCCTGTCAGGTGGGCAGACATGTTTGCTCAGGAGGTGGGAGAGGAGGAAGACGCAGGGACACTCACTAAATTGTGAAGAGTTCCTTCGTAGCTGGGAGATAAGGCACCGGGTGCTCCTGGTCGGGGCCACTGGGATGTGCCTGAAACACAAGATGTGTGTTCAAATCCAGACTCTATTGCTGCTAAGCTGTGAGACCCTGGACAAGTCACTTCCAGTCTCTGGGCCTCAGTTTGCTCATCTGTACAATAAGAGGGTTTGATTAGATGAGTTTTACAGTTCTTGGCACACTATAAACACTTAATAAATGCTTTTATGTTTATTTTTTTATCTACTCATCCCAAGTTTCCTTCTGGCTTTGACCAACAATGTTCTAAAGCCTGACAGTCTATGATCCAGAGACCCAGCATTTTACAACAGGAAGGACCTGATTTGAGGTCTAAGGATTCTGGGTTCAAAGCCCAGCTCCAATACTTACTAACTGGGTAACAATGTAGCAAATCACTGCCTCCCTCACCAAGCCTGTTTTCTCTTCTGTGAGATAGGGATATCAGCAGCTGTACTACCTAGCCCCAGAACTGTTTTGAAGAAAGTGCCCGGTGTTGTAAAACCTGATGCAATATAGAATTTCTGATCATTTATCATTATGACCTTGAGACACCTGCAGTGCTGACTCACACCACAGGGGGGCACCATCCACCCACCCAACAAAATTCAGCGTTGACCAAAAAATTTAGCGTAGCCCAGTTTGTGCTAACAGCATGTGGGAAGGCCTTTGGGGCCTTGTATCTCTCTCCTAAACTCTTCCCCATCTAGGTGTCCCCCAGTTCACCTGGGCAAAAACAACGCCTCCACTAATAAGATTAGGATGGACAACAGGAAAAATCTGAAGGGGACAGAGAGGGCAGTGAGGGGCATATGTGCCAAAGCCGAAACAGCATAGAGATCTGGAGTCAGGCAACCTGGGATGAGTCTGACTTTGCTCCTTACTATGTGACTCTTTGGCAAAGCACTTAAACCTCTCCGGGACTCAGTTTACCCACTTGTAAAATGAGGGAGCTGGTCTTGCTCCAAATTCTATGATTCAATGCTAACACTTGGGGACACCAGGAGAGGAAGAAGCATCACTGTGCCTTCTACCTCATCTCCCTTCAGCCCCCAACCACAGAGCCATTACAGGAGGCTGTGTGCAGGGAGCCATTTGGGGCGGGGGGTGGGGTGGGGGGGTGGCTGGGAGAGGAGGGCAGTCAGGGAGCAGAGCCTGGCTCCTAGAGGGTCAGAGAAATCAATTCCTCTGCTAGCTTACTCTAAGGAGACTCAGGAAAGTAGTGGCCCCAGGATGAGAGCGGGGTCCCTCACCCAGCAACCCCCATCAGCCAGCAGTTTAGCCTGGAGGGACAATTTGCTTGGATATCCAACAGCCTTCCTTATCCTGTCTAGCGGTTCTTGGGGCTACAGGGGAGAGAGCTTCTGGGCTGATTTAGCGAAGTGAGAGTCACTAAGGCTTGTAGTGCAAGCAGGAGGTGGCCCTGAAGGCACTGAGATGGCTGGTGGCAACCCCACCTACTGGGGGCCCAGAAGTATTTTTAACCTAACTGCCAGCCCTTCCAGAAACCCAGAGATTTCACTTCCCTCTCCCTCCAGCTGATCCTGGAGGGGGAGGGTGATATGAACAAACCAGGGGACTGAGTATACACCTACAAGCTCCTACAAAGATATCTGTATGTGTGCAGGGAGGGGGAGGGGGAAGAGGGAGGTAGGAAGGGAAAGGGAGGGGAGAGAATAGAGGGACAGGGAAGAGGAAAAGGGATGGGGGGGGAGAGAAGAGAAGGGAGTGGGGAGGAAGAGGAAAAGAGGGAGAGAAGGAAGGAGAGGGATGGGGGGAGAAAAATAATTCAGGACAAGAGGAGAGGGGGCAGGGAGGAAAGAAGAGGGAGAGGGATGGAGAAGGAAGAGGATGGAGAGGGAAAGGAAGGGAGGAAGAGGGGAGAGGGAAAGTGTTCCACTGCTGAAAGCTAGCAACATGACCATTTATGAACATATGTGTCCATTCGTGTAGCTGGCATGGCAGGGAAGGACCGTGTAAACAGAGCACATATATGTTACAGCATAGTAGGTACACACATGGGGACCAGGATGAGTGGCGACGTAAAGCGGAAAGCCGCTAGGCCTGGAATCGAGGCACAATCGATTCCCCGTTCTGCCATTTACTCGCTGTGTTCACCTGGACACGTCACAACCTCGTTTGGGCTCACTTTCCTGACCTGCACGGCCCTCTCCTTGTCTCGTTCCCCAGGGATCAGTGACATTCCAGGGAAGTGTGTTTGCAGCAGGGGAGGCAGGTTTGGGTGTATGGGGGAGTGGCATCTGCTTCAGCGCTGAGGGGTTCACGTGAGGGTGGGAGCCTATGTATCCGTGAGTCAGAGAGCATGGCTGTGAGCACAGACAGGGATGTGTGTATGGGAGGGATGAATGAATTTTGCAAGCCCTCGTGAAATCCTTCCTATATACCAGACGTTGTGTTAAGCACTGGGGACACAAATAAAGGTGGACAGGCCCTGATCACAGGATGCTCACTCTCTAAAAGGAAATGCTTCATCCAGAGGAACGAGAGGTCACTTTGGTGCGAAGAGTCAGGGAGATGGTGAGGGCCAGGGGTAACAGCAATGTTATTTTGACTTGTTTCCAAAGTAAGAAATAAAAAGAATGAGTGAGCATGGCGGAAGAAGAGAAGGAAATCGGCTGACTAGCTATGATGGGCTCTCACAGACCCTCACCAACAGCCCTCAGCTGCTTCTGGATTGGCTGGCTGGTAGTACTGTGGCTGCTGATAAGAAAACCCACACACCTTATCTTATTGAGGTGGGATGAACATGGGGACTCTCCTGGGCTTGGGGAACTGTGTACCCTACAAAGGTGGGATGTGCAGGGCACAAAGCCATCACCCCAGGATGTTTCCGAATGAGCCCTGCCACGCCTGAGGCCCCAGGAGCCTTCCTAGGGCAAAACCCTAGAAGCTGACCCATGCCCTGCTTGTCAGGCAGCACAGTGGACTTCAACACCTCCATCCCCTACCCCTCAGCTATTCTTGGCTTTGTAGTGGGGCCATGTCCCTTGGCTGAGACGTCATCTCAGCTCTGAAGTCTAGCACCAGGGTTTGGAGAGGTGGCCAGAGGTACTGGTTATGGCTGTGGAAATTCACAGCTCATCCTTCCAAGCTTGCTTGCCTGGTGCTTGGGGGTAGAGGAGGGGTGATGGTTGCTCTGCCATGGCCAACTCCACAGCATTTGTTAAGTACCTCCTATGTACCTGTGCTAGGCACTGGGGATGCAAAGAGAGGTTGGACTGGTGTAGTGGAAATAGCCCTTGCTGAGTCAGAAGACCTAGTCTGAACCCAAGTGCAGACGTTATCATCCAGGCAATGGCAGGTGAGAACAGGACCTCAACATGTTAGAGGCGCCTTGAAAATGTGCTTGGAATTTAAGGTGAATTTCCCATACAACCACCTCTCCAGTGAGCAGCTAGGCAGTGCAGTGGATAGAGCAAGCACCAGGCCTGGAGTCAGAAAGACTCATCTTTGGGAATTTAAATCTGGCCTCAGACAGCTGTGTGACCTTGGGCAAGTCACTTAAACCTGTTGGCCTCAGTTTCTCCATGAGCTGGAGAAGGAAATAGCAATCCACTCCAGTATATTTGCCAAGAAAACCCCAAGTGGGGTCACAAATATGACTGAAATGAAATGACATGAAATAGATATGGCTGAAAAAAAAACCCTATCCAGTAGGCCAGATATGTGAATGGGGTGACCAAGAAGGGCAGATTCTGTTGGGTCCCAATACCTCCTGTCCCTCCCCCCCATTCCTCTCGATCACATACCTGCAAGTCCCTGAGGGGAACCCACCGGGGTCGAGGGGTTAGAAGGAAAGTTATTGCTTGAGTGGTCTGGGGAATAGATCTAGAGAGGAGAGAGAGAGAAAGAGACACATTGTTCAGGTGGCACTCCCTGAACTGGTGAGACATCTCTATGTCAGCTGGGGGCTGTTACTTCTCCCTATGTTGGATCACAAAACAAAAGAAACCAGGTAGCTTCTCATTGATGGCTGGGCTAAAGCAGTAGAGATGGCCTTTGAAATATCATCATTATCGGGGCAGCTAAGAGGTGCAGTGGATACAGCACCGGCCCTGGAGTGAGGAGGACCCGAGTGCAAATCCAGATCAGATGCTTACTAGTTCTGTGACCCTGGGCAAGTCACTTAACCCTGACTACCTCCAAAAAAAATAAAATAGAATGAAGAAGTATCACCATGGCTACAGATTTCTTTTTTGTAGTTACTGACAGGAGGAGCAGGAAGATTTGGAGGCAGAGGGACTTGGGTCTGAACTCGGGTTTTCCCAGTGTGACAGAATACTCATTTACCTGGGTTCAAACTAGATTCCTGGTGTTCGCTAGCTGTGGGACCATGAGTCTCCTAATAGTGAGAATGTAGCCTCTACTTGACACAAAAGTCCCTTCAAGGGCTGCTTTGGATAGCATAGAGGGACAAAGGAAAGGGAGCATTTACTGGCTTCTGGCATGACTTCAGAGCTACTGTCCTGGAGGGCTAAACTCTTGCCCTGTCTGCCGCCAGTTTAACAGCTAATGAAGGCACGGCAGAGGGAATGAGTGGAGGCCCCGAGAAGCCTGGTTACCCCAGAGGCCTGGGGCAGGGTGGCCTGGAGGATGCGAGCATCCTGGACATGGGCTGGGGAAATTAGCTCCAGAGAAAGGAGGAGGTACACTGGCTCTGAATCAGAGAATCTGGGTGCAGCTCCTAACTAGCTAGGTGACCTTGGGGAAGTGATCGCTTCCCCAGGCCTCAGTTTCTTCATCTGTAGAATGCCTCCAGAGCCATCATTCTACGCGCAGCCCCAATGGCATCTCTTGTCTCACCCCGCGTCCCACCCCCACTCCCACACTTGGCGCATTTGGAGGAGGTCCTTGGCCCAGGGTACAGATGAGGTCTGAGCAGGCAGTGGGAGGGGGTGGCCCAAAGGAGAGGACAATGGTGAAGGGAAGTCTGGGTAGAGTTGCCGAACGTGAGGCCCCCCGGTGCCACTGTTCCAACCATGCCTTTCGCTTCCTGGCACATACACCCGGTGCTCTCAGTTTCAGCCACGTTGGGGTGACTGTGGTGAGGCCATGGGGGGAAAGCCGTGACAGGGGGAGAAGGAAATGGGACTACCTACAAAGTGGCAGAGCTCAAGAGCAGCCTGAGTGAGCTGCTGGGAATACGGACTCCCAAGCTCGGTCGGGGGGAGCAGGAGGGCCAGCTTCCGCCGCTGTCTCCTCTCTTGGTCAGTGGGCTCTGGGAACTGGGGTGTGGAACACCGGCCGGGAGGCCAGGATACATGTGAGGAGCCTGGGTACCTCTGACCCCCCTTCTCCCACCATCTGAATGCCGGCTACCTGCTGTGCCTCCTATAGGGCTGGGCAGCACTCAACCCTCCCAACCCAAAGGGAAGGGAACCATGGCGCCCTTCCAGGAGGCAAAGGGAAAAGCCTGGAGCCTGAAGCTCTCTTCCTGGGCTCATACAAATCTGCCTCCAGAATTCCCCAGTCCTGCCCATCACTGTGCCAGGGGAGAGAGAAACTGGCAGAAGCAGCTCTCACCGAAGCCAGTGCCTTCCCAAGTGCGTCTCCAGAGCTACCTGCTGTACTCCCTCTGTTACCTGTGACAGAAGAAAAGGAAGGCATGAGTCACCTCACCCGCTCCCATTCCACAGGAGGAGAGAAGCCTTCTACTACCAGACATAGAATCTCAAGCATCGGAGGGTACCTCGGAACACGGAATATTGGAGGTCCCTTGGAACAGGGAATGTCAGAGCTGGGAAGGTCCTTAGAACACAGGATGTCAGAGATGGGAGGGCCCTTAGAACCCAGAATACCAGAGCTGGGAGGGCTCTTAGAACCTAGCTGGGAAGGCCTTTAGAACCTAGGATATCAGACCTGGCAGAGCTCTTAGAACCCAGAACGTCAGAGCTGGGAAGGTTCTTAGAACACAGGATGTCAGGGCTGGGAGGGCTCTTAGGACATCTCAGAGAGATGAAGTCACAGGACGTGTCCACTATCAGACATCTCTGACCAAGAGGAAAGAAGAACTTGGGTCCCTTGACACCCAGCCCAAGTGTGCCTTCCTCTCCTTTGCTGATTCAGCTTAATGGGGTCAGAGTCACACAGTGAGCCAGCCAAAAGCACAGCTCGGACCTAGATCCTGACTGATGCCCCTGGCTCCCATCCCTGACACCAGACATTTAAAACATCTGATCCATCCTGGATCCACTGAGGCTGCGGAATGTAGCAGCGAACCAGCTAGCAGAGCCCTGAAGGGGAAGGAAAATCCAGTGGTAGGAAGAGAGTGGTACCTACCCATGATGCTGTCTGTCCCGCTGACTGGTGGTGTGTGGCTCGAGACGCCATAGGGAGCAGTGGTGGAGGAGAATCCGGACACTGATGGGATTCCACCATTGACTTCCCCTGAATGCATCTGGTAGTTCTTAGGAGGACCCCGCAGAAGCGGAGGGAGAAGAAGAGCAGGGTCAGATGGCTGAAGCCAGACACGGACCAAGCTACTAAAACTTACGGGCAGCTTTCTAATCTGCTTGAGGGCTCTCTGGGGGATGGGAAGTTGCTTTCTTTAAGGCAGGGGCTACATCTCCCCCCAACCCCCCACCCTGCATGGTCTTGCTTCAGGCAGGGACCATGGGGGGGGGGGAGAGCTTTCCAAGGGGTGTTCTCTTACCATTCGTTCATGCTGGTGTAAGTTACTGAAGCCACCGCTCTGAGGGAGAGGTGAAGGGGAACTGCCCAGCATCGGAGGGGCATAGTTGGACTGGTTCATGGTGCCTGATGGGCTCCATAGGTCCGCTGAGTTGTGTAGTCCATCTGCAGAGAGCACAGGGTCAAAGTCAATGGAACAGTATGTAGAATAGAGTTACAAGGATACAAAAGTGGTCCCAGATGTTTTTATCTACCTACTTTTCCAACACTTTTTACGTGGAGCCCTTTCTGATTCACATGCCATCTCAGCAACCTATACATCTTGGCACTAGACTGAGCCCTGATCCCCGATGGAACTTTGACCTGAGTGCTGCCCAGTCCCAAAAGAAAGTCTGACCCCCACAGGCACCCCCAAAACGCAAGCCCTGATCTCCTAGGCAGGCGAGTATAGATGTCTGCTAGGCATCTCAGCCCAAATGATGGAGGCTGGGCACCTAGGTCTAACCCTATATATGGTCAGTAGAGTTAGGAAACCAGGGCATCTTCCTCTCTCTACCCTGTGAACCATACCTGGCATGTAGAAGGCTGCAGGGTACACAGTACTGGCAGGTTTGGAGGAGTTATATCCCGTGGTGTCTCGGCTGTACTCATCACCTGAGTTGGAGGGATATACCTGCCAAAGAAGATTCAGTCAGAAGGAAAACTACCAAATGTCCTTCCTTCTACTCGGAAGGCAGGTAGCAGGTGCAGCAGGCAGAGTGCTGGACCTGACGACTGGAAGAGCCGAGTTGGAATCTTGCCTCAGACACTTACTATGACCCCAGGCAAGTCATTTACCTTTTCTCAGCCTCAGTTTCTTCTTCTGAAAAATGAGGATAATAATAGCTCCTACACTTCACAGGGCTGTTAAGAGGCTCAAACAAGCTAATTCGTTATTTTCTGCAAACCTCAAAGCCCCAACTAAATGCTACTCCCAACCCTGTCTCTGGGGCCAACAGACAGGGTTACTGCACTGCTTTCCCCTACCCCCTGGTACCACCCTTGGCCCAAGCTGTAGGAGTTTCTATTTTTCCACAAGTTCCTCGGGAGTCTGGGGAGACTGCTGGAGAAAAGTGTGATACAGGGCCCTACCTCCTTAGGAAAGACATAAGGGAGGGAAGGGAAAAGGAAGATGGAAAGGAAGGAAAGAGAAAAAATAGAAGAAGAGATATCAAAAAAGAATAGCATATAGTGGCAGAAACTTGCTGAGATCAGAGTCTGGAACCTGGGTTCCAGTCCTGATACTGGCACAACTTATTGGATGACTGGGAGTCATTTTTCCACTTGAAATTTCAGTTTCTTAATGTGACATTTTCTGATCTAAGGGCCCTCCAAGCTCTGACATTCTATGTTCTAAGGCCCTTTCAGCTCTGACATTCTGTGTTCTAAGGCCTTCCCAGCTCTGATGTGCCATGTTCTAAGGGCCTTCTCAGTTCTGTCATCCTGTGTCCTAAAGGCCTTCCCAATTTTCACATCCTGTGTCCTAAGGGCGCTCCCAACTCTGACATCCTCTGTTCTCAGGCACGCTTCCCACCCCACTCCTTGGTCTACAGTTTCTCAGCTGTAAAATGGGGCCAATCGCAGCACTAGCACCTCTTGTGAAGGTTTAATACTGATGAAGCACTTTTGAGAGTGTTAAAATGCCAGTATAAACAGCAGTAACTATTACTCTCTAAGGCTCCCTTTGAGGACGGGGCCACTTGGCCAGAAGCCCCAAGAGGGCTCTTCTCTGATTGGCTCCCTTTGCGGTCAGCCTTCCCTCCCCAGGGCTGACTGAGCCAGAGGGGACGTGTGTTAAAGAAGAGTTTGGAATAAAGCCCCCCCATAAAATCTGGCTAGGCAGGCCCCCTGGTGCCTCTGCTGCCTTTTCCTGCCCCCAGCCTTGAAGTGCCTAGGTGGGGAATATATAGGCAGGCCCTGGGTGGGGCCCAGGATTCTTGCTTGCCTCGATGCCCCTCCCCCATCTCCAGGCCCCACCAGTTTGGAGAATGGGAGTGAGTCCCCCTGCATGGGCCTCCTTCTGCTGTGGGCGGGGGGGCTGGGATGGCCCAGATCCCTTACACTGAGATTCAGTTACATTTTCAGCAGATGGTAACTTAGGTTTTAGAGGCCCCAGCAAGGGCAAGCTAATAGTGGGATTTTTTTTTTTGTCTCTGTTTGGAAAGGGTGGGGGTTGGGATGGGAAAGGGAATGGGATTTTCTCTCTCTCTCTCTTTTCGAGGACACCTTCCTCAAGAATGCTCTGGATCAGTCCAGGACCTGGGGACTAGCAACCTAGCAACCCCTCCCCCCCATGCCCCAGCCCAACCATTCACAAAGTTTCTCTTTCCTTCCTCCTTTGATTAAGGCTGTGAAAGCGAATTGGCCAACCCACTGGACCTGGGACTCCCCCTGGGCTAGGCCAGATGCAGAGAGGAAGCTAGGCTGGGCTAGGGCCAGGGGAGGCAATGGGGTCAAGATGGCCCTGGCCAGCTGGGTCTACGCCCGTAGAATTTCTGAAATCCAACTCCATGGATGAGGCCTGGGATCCCTTCTCCTGCTCTTGACCCAATCAATCATGACAGTAACGCCCATTTTTCTCTAAAAAGTCCTTTCCTCATAAACCTGTTAGGTCTATCGTGAAGTACCACCTTCACTTTAGAGATGAGGAAATCGAGACCTTTCCATTCTCCCTTCACAAACTGGAACCAGGACATCCCAGGCCAGGCCACCATTCTTATCCGAGGTACAATAGACCAAGAGTGGGGCTGGCACTCAGGAAACCAGGGTTGGAGTCTGGCTCTGCCCCAGATTAGACATGCACCACGGGGGTGGTCCCAATTGCATTTCTGGGGGTTCAATTTATCCCTCTATAAAATGAGACTGGACTAGGTGACTGTGACATTTCCTTCTAGTTCTGCCATTCAGCATTCTAAGGTCTCCCTCAGGCATGACTTTCTCTGTTCTAAGGGCCCTCCCAGTTCTGACATTCTGTGTTCCAAGGGCCTACGTGGCTTCAAAATTAGCTGATTCTCCATGGTGGCTGGCAAGAGGAGAACACAAAACCTGGGATTTAAGAGACCTCAGGTGGGTGATGTGTAGGCCTGGGCCAGTTTGGGTGGGTAGAGGGAAAGGAAGCCTCTTTTCCTCTGGCAGAGGTGGGGGGGCCAGCAGTGGGGAAATATGTGGCGCCAGGGAGCCCAGAAACGAAGGGAATGAGAAGGGCTACAATGAGAAAGAATTCAGCAAATTGACTTTTTCTATAATTTGATTAAATAGCGGGAGCTGGGAGAGCCAAGCCTGTCTAAGAGCTCCGTGCCATCTGTCGGGCTCTGGCACCCTGCCAAGGCTTCATGCAGCTGTGCTGCAAGGGAGGGGTGGCGGGGGACTGAGGAGGGGAGAAGGGGAGCAAGCGTGTGTGTGTGTGTGTGTGTGTGTGTTGCTACTGGGAAGCTCCTTGTTGTACAGATGTGGGGGAGGCAGGGGAGAGCCCCTCTCTTCCACCATCAATGCTTCCTTCCCCCTCTCCAAAGCCCAATAACTACTCTTGGGTGGGGGTGGGGGACAGGGGTGGCAATTCAGGTAAAGGAGTCAAGTTTCAGGCCCTGGCCACTCTCCCCTCCCACCCTTCCCAATCCTTCTGTTCTGTGCCGTAGCCCGCTCCCCAAACCCGTCAGGCAACCTAGAACACACTCTTCCCCCAAATAACAAACTGGCCCTTCAGCATGCCACGGGATAAGACCTGCTCCTTTGTCTGGGACTCAACCCCCCCTCCCTGAGACTGAAACTGACATTAGTCTAGAAGGTGGGAGACACTCCCAGAGAAGACAGTCTCAGATCCTCTCTGGTTCTCTACAGAGGCAGTGACCGGCACTGATTAGAGACACAGAATCCGGCTTTTATACCTGGCCATACCCATGACTTGCTGTCACCTCGGCAAGTCACTTTTATCCTGAGATTCAATTTCCTTATCTGTAAAATGGTAGTTGGGGGTTGGGGGCGGTGGGGAAGAGACCAAATGCTGGAGTGAGAACATAGCGACCCCATCCTAAGAATGGGGCTCAAGGACTGTCCGAGCTGGAAGGCACCTGAGAAATCACCCACTGTTTGACAGATGGGCAGGGGATTTGCTTCTGGTCACACAGTCATTTAGAGATGGGGGAGAGCCAGCATTTGGCTTCTGATCATCTAACCCTATGCCCAGTCATCTTTCCATCACACCATAGTCTTCGGAAAGAGGACAGAGGTCCCCACCGGGGCTGAGACAATCAACTACCTAGAGGGCGAATCAGGCAACCAGGACTCAAGAGCTACAGCTTTGGGGCTTCCAGAGTGGGAGCCCTTGGCCCTGGCTTCGGACTGCCTGGCTCTGGTGGGTGGCAGGGGAGGGGCCATTGGGAAGAAGAGAAGGGAGGGGTGTGGGAGCCAGCGGTAGGATGTTTAGAGCCCCAACTTGAGGCTATGACTCATGCCAAGGGGCCACATTCACATGTTCATGTGTGTACAGTACACTCCAGTAGACATATCTATCCAAGCTAGCAAACATGGTGTAGGGACCTCAAGAGAAATTGGTCTTTTATAACAACCACCTCGGCGCAGGTCACACAAGCTATTGGAGCGACCCTCTCTTAAAGCAATTCTGCCATGGAGAATGGTGCTGGGCATGTTTTGGTGAGGTCATTGACTAGTCCTTGTCTTTGCTCCTTCATTAGTGGGGCTCCCACAGACATGGCTGGTGGATACCCCAGAGATCCCCTCCAGGAGGGAGGCCCCCACACAGCCAGCTGACCTTTTAGGCAGTATACTGACCAGAGGTTGGAGAAGGCAATGAGAGACGCTGTTAGGGCCAGATGTAAAGCAGGAGGGAGTCTCAATAATAAAGACTAAACTACTATAGAGTTACTCCTTTTCTCTGGGCCTCAGTTTTCTCATCTGTAAAATGGAGTGGCTGATTTCTAAGGTCTTAGCTCTAATAATTCATGTTATGTATTCTAAGGGCTCTGACATCCTGGGTCCTAGGGTCCTTCCCTAGATGTTCTGCAAGGATATCCTATGACATTATGATTCTTTGAGTATTATGTCTCTCTCAGGTTCTCAGATGGGAGTGTTACTTATGGTAACACTCCAGGTCCACATTTAACTACTCGGCTTTAACTTGTTAAGACTCTGAGGACCAGGCACCACAGTCTCAGTTGGGCATCTCCTGGGGTGGGAGCATGGTGGCAGGACCCCTCCCCCCCATATGGACCTCCTATGTAGCAGACACCCACGTCCCATGATCTCCCCACATCCACCCGACTGGCTACTCACCGAGGAGGGGAGTCCTGGGGGCACCTTCCGGACCTTCTTAGGTTGCCCATCTAGCCAGGCAGAGCAGGGGAAGGGGAAGGGGAGAACAAACAAAAAACCGTGAAACCACAGGAAATGTTAACCTTTGCTCATGCAAAACAAATAGGATTTCAAACCCCTCTGCCAATGCCAACCACAGTCTGGAACATCTTCCCCCTCCCTCCCGCCGAGCTTCCCTCTGTCTTTCGATGCCCAGCTCAAGACGCCCCTTCTTGCAGGAAGCCACCGGCCATACCACCGTACGGCCTCAGAAAACACTCAGGATGGTACCCTATGTTTGGGACTTGGTTTAGATAACCTTCCATTGCCTAATTATTTCAAGGCTTATAGACCACTCAGTTTCACCCTCACTAGCTGTGTAAAATGATCTAGTGACCTGGTCATATGTGAAATGGGGATCAGGATATTTGCACTACCAACCTCACTGTGGGGGAAGGAAGGGCTTTCTAAATAGCTTCAAGTCCTACAGAAGAGGGAGTGTTACCCTCGTCATCATCGTTCCTATCTCTACAGCCAGACTGGGAGCTCCCCAGAAACACGGTCCAAGGCACCTCCTCCTTTCTCAGCCTCAGTGCCCAGCAGAAGGCTGGGCACACAGAGGTGGGAGTCTGGGTATGCATCATGTGAGATAACCAGCACGAGGGCACAGAACAAGGGTGCCCCTCTCTCCTGATCCCTGATGTGGTGAGGAACCTTCCAGGGCATCCAGATTGTATCCTTTATTTTACAGATGAGCAAACAGAAAGCCAGAGATGAAGTGACTTGCTCCTGGCCACATTGGTAATAAATTCCTGAAGCTGCATTTGAACTCAAGTCTTCCTGGTAGCAAGATGAACTGGGATTCAGACTCAGGTCCAATAACTCTGAAGCCAGCACTTTCCATCGGACCACACACCTCCTAGGATGGAGGCCCAGGTACAGGGCTGAGGTCACAGCAAGCCTCACTGCCCCACATACCCTGGGCCTGCTCAGCGCAGTGCCATGACTGAAAAGCAAAGCAACCACAGATGCTCAAGTTAAAACCAGCCTGAGGCCCAGCTAAGGCATCAAAGGCGGTCCAATCTGCCATTCACTCACTGACCCACAGTGTAGACCAGCTCCACATTCAGGGCTGGAGAAAGGGAGGGGAAGTGCTGGGTTCCTATTCTTAGGGAGGTCACACACTGGCTGAAAGCGGGCAGCCTGACAGAAAGGCCACAACTCTCAAGAGTTAGGGCCTGGCTCCTTCAGAGGCTAGCTGTGTGGCCTTGAGTAAGTCTCACGTGGCCAGGAGGCTCAGTTTCCTCATCTATAAAAATGTAGACAGTAATACTCATATTCAAGGCTTCTAAGTGGCAGTAGATAGAGCTCTGGGCCTGGAGTCCGAAAGATCTGAGTTCCAGTCTAGCCTCAGACACTTATTAGCCGTGTGACCCTAGGTAGGTCACACACTAAACCCCTGCCTGCTTCATTTTTCTCATCTGTAAAATTGAGGTGATAACAGCACCTCCCTCTCAGAGTTCCTCATCTGGAACCGATGAGATAATATTTGTAAAGCACTCTGTAAACCTTAAAGCACTAAATAAATGTCATTATTATCATTAGTAGTAATAGTACTAGATGACACGTTACTACCACCACCACTACTACTACTGCTGCTGCTGCTCCTCCTCCCACCATCACCACCACTATTACTATTTCTCCCAGAGTTAATGTGAGGAAAGCACTTTGTAAACCTATGTGCCTTGGAAATGGAAGTTTTATTGTTATTACTCTAGGTTCTGAAGCAATGAGACCTCACCCGTGCGCCAGAAGAAGTGCACGAGGTCAGGGAAGGAAGGGGGAGGAAGTCCTCAGAGAGGGAACGTGTCCTGGGACCTCTGTTTCCTCAGGCCTTGCTCTAAAGCATCCCCAAACCCTGACTCCAAGCACATTTAGGGGGAGAATTCTCCCACAACTCGGTCCCCTTGCTGCTGGATGAGCGTCTCTCCCGGAGACAGGAATGTAAATTCAGCTTCATTTGCAGGAGTGGGGAAGTAAAGTAATTTCTGAGGGTGACGGGCATGGCTTCCCCAGGAGGATTAGAAAAGACTGTTACCAGCCTGCCACTGGAACAAGGCCCGCCGGGCAGCACCTGATAACCCGGGGCCTCGGGGACACACCTGCCCCAGTTTCACGTGTTTTCCTCATCCCCTGGGCTAGGCTGGGCGGGTGGTTACTAGGAAAAGAACTAGAGCTAATACCTATATAGAGCTGAAGGTTGGGGAATAGAGCACTTTACATATATATTATCTCACTTGGGATCCTCATAACAACCCTGGGAAGTAGGTGCTATTATTACCCCCATTTTACAGATGAGGAGACTGAATGTGGTTAAATGCCTAACCTCAGGGTCATTCAACTAGGGCAGGATTTGAACTCAGGTCTCCCTGACTCCAGGCCCAGCACATTATCTACTCTGTCATGTTTGGGGAAGGTGAAGAAGCCAGAAGTTTTGAGAAGGGGTTCTCTCTGGGCAATGAATGATGGGAGTGCTCTTCAGTGATAGGGTTGGGAAGAGCTTTGGGCTGGGAATCTGGAGACCTGGACCAGCTGAAGGAATTGGGGATGCTCAGCCTGGGCTGGGGGTACCATACATGATTTGTCTCTCATTGTTACAAGTTAGAACTGTCCCTCTTGGCCCCAGAGGGATGAATTAAGAATGAGTGGAAGCTGTTGCCGATGGGACTCTCCAGTCCAATGGAAGGGAAAATTCACCAGCCACTAGAGCTGTCCCTGAGTGGCCTGGGCTGTCCTGGGGAGGCCTTCGGTTCGAGAATCGCCAGGCTAAATCTTCCAAGGAACCTCAGAGGTCACCCAGCCCTTATTCTTCATCTTACGGATTAGGAATCTAGCCCTGAGAAGTTAGTGGCAGAAGATCTTACAGTCAGAAGGGACCTCAGGAGGCATCTCGTCAGACCTGGCTGGGAGCAGGAATCTGTGGACAATGTAGCTCAGCAAACACTTATTAGGCACCTACAACATGCTATTGCTAGCAGGGGTCAATCCCAAACAGTGATCCCCCACGGCAGCCCTCAGTCTGTTATGAGAGCTCACTTACTATTAAGTAAATAAGTAATAATTAACAAGTAATAAATAATAAATAAGAATCTCCTGAAGACACATTCCTTAGCCCAAAACGGGGGAAGGGTTTAATGAAATTTAATGGAGGACATGGCAAGTTAGATGTGAGCCTGTCTTTTTTTAGGCAACTGGGGTTAAGTGACTTGACCAGGGTCACACAGCTAGTAAGTGTCAAGTGGTTGGTCTGAGGCAGGATTTGAACTCAGGTCCTCCTGACTTCAGGGCCAGTGCTCTATCCATTGCAGCACCTAGCTGCCCCCTAGCCTATGTCTTTTGATGGCAACCTGGGGAGAAGGCCAGAGATGGTTATTTATACGGTGTTTGAAGGTCTGAAAACAGCTTTATAAAGTTATTATCTTAACTGATCCTCAACACCTTTGAAGGCAGGTGCCATTATTGTCCCCATTTTAGAGATGAGGAAACTGAGGCTGAAAGTGGTTATGTGACTTGCCCAGGGTCAGCTGTTCCTGACTCTCGGCACCGTGATCTATCCAACGTACTATGGAACTTTCTATCTCTAGAGGGGAACAGATGCTCATTTCCAGCTGAGATTTTGGGTTTCCGATTCTAGCCAGGGCTCATAATCACTGGCTGGGGGGGACCTTCAGCCAAAATGCTTCCCCAGTTCGGGCTGCAATCTCATCTGCCAAAGGGGGATAACCCTCTCTGGCCTTCTCCCCAAGTTGCTGCCAAGAGGGATCGGGGTAAGGAAGCTCCTGTCTGAGTGACTCCTGGGCTCTGTTACTTCAGGTGTTGATTTTGACTGGGTGTGAATCTTCCCATTGGGTCAGGAGGGCATTTGGGCAGGCAGGCAGGCAAGATCAGAGCGTTCTGAGCAAGAACGTTTATTGCTCTACTGATAAGCAGCAACTGGCAGTTGGAGTCACCGTTGCCATAGCTGGACACAGCCCTTAAGGAAACCGGCTGCCAGCATAAGGACTGGCCCCATTTTTAAAGGGGGGAGGGAACCAAGGGGGTAGAAAATGTGGCCTGCAACCATGCCAACCCACCCCAAAGCCCTGCCTGTCTGATTGGCAAGAAACTTTTGGCCAGCCACTGGTCAGCTGGCACACAAGGGTAAAGCAGCATTGGCCAGGGCCCATCATGAAGAACACGGGAGTTCTGGACACTGTGAGTGTCCACATAGCCTGTGAGTCTGGGGGGGAGCTAGCTACACCATGGCCTGGGCTTTCCACACTGGCCCAGATTGGAAGTTAGGAAGACCTGGGGTTCAAATCCACCTGTGACACTGCCTAGCTATGGGATCCAGGCAGGTCACAGAAAACTGTCAGCCTGAGTTGCCTCATCTCTAAAATGGAGATAATAATAGTACCTACCTGGCGGGGTGGTCATCTCCAACGGGACAATGTATGGGAAGCCCCCGACTAATCTCAAAGCCCTCTGTACACATGGGTTATTACTACCAAAAACAAATGGCAAGAGCTGTTCTATAACTTACCAGGAGTAATGACAGAGGGGAGCCTTTTCCCAGCCCCCACCACTCACTCCCACCTGGTGCTGGATTTGGATGATTCTACCTGGCTAGATGTGGATTCACACCCTCCCCTCCCATCTCCATCCAGAGCCCTGCTCCACTCTGACCGTTCAGTCTACTACCCCTTCCTAAGGGTCACTGGCTGGGGACATGGCTGCTTTACTTCTATTAAAGATGGAAGACCACCAGGTCTTACCACGTGCCCTGGGACTGCCTCCCTAGGGTCCATGGGATCTTATCGCCTACCCTACCACTATGCCCTCTGAACCCCCAGGCATTGTTATCCTACTTGCTGCTATTCCCCAAGGCCCTACGTTTTGTTCCCCATCCAAAGGTCTGCTGGGCCTTTCCATCTGCCTCATAGCCGAGCCTTCCTATATCGTACTGGAATGTAGATTCCTGAAAGGCAAAGACTGGCCAGCTTTTCTATCTGTATCTCCAATACCTGGCATGTTGGAAAGTGCTAAATACTTTCCCATTCTGTTATCCATCAAGTTATAAGGAGCTAGGACCCCTGGGGTGAGTCACTTGCCCAGGGATAGCCCCAAAAGAGTGACAGAGGCAGGTTCTCCTGACTCTAGATTCAGCCCTCTCTCCAACATATCAGGCCACCTCTGTGATCCTACTGGAAACTGAATTATACTGGTCTGTCTCCCCTACTAGAATGTAAGCTCCATGAGGGCAGAGACCACATCTCTGTTATGTACTAATAAATGTCTTTTGAAAACAAAGAGATATCTTTATCTTCTAGCCTAGAGGCTGGCACATATTTCATTGGTGGGGATGTTTACTAGGAGAATAATAAGGGATACAACACTTGACCTATCTGAGTCCCAGTTTCCTTATCTGTAAAATGGGGGCTGGAGGCAGCCAATGGCTCAGTGGATAAAGCATGGACCCGGAGTCAGGAAGACTGGAGTTCAATGTAGCCTCAGATTATATGACCCTGGGCAAGTCACTTAACTCAGTTTGCTTCAGTTTCTGCATCTGTAAAATGAGCTGGAGAAGGAAATGGCAAACCACTCTAGTACCTTTGCCCGGAAAACCCCAAACAGGGTCATGAAGGGTTGGACGTGACTGAAACTGACTGGCCAACAACCAAAAAATGGGAGGCAATATTACCCTGTAATACTTAACTCATAGGATTGTTGTGAGCATCTTACAAATACACCCATATGCAAAAAAAAAAAACCAAAAAAACTTTGCAAATGTGGGCATAAATTACAAATGCTAGCTATTACCATCAATAAGTGATAGACGAAAACGGAAAATCAAAAGTGAACATGGTATAATTAGAATGGTTGAACTTGAATACATAATTCCTGGTTTGTTTGCTTTTTTTTGCAGAGGTGAGGGACTATGGATGTGGATCACTGCATACCCTTGACTCTAGCGCCACCTTCTCCATGGAGCCTTTCCTGATTCCTCTCAGCTGCCTTCCTCCTCGCAGTTACCTTGCAGGGTGAGTGAGAATGTGTGCGTGTGTGTCCTATTGTCTCATGATCAAACGTAAGCTTCCTGAGGGCAGGAACCATTTCATTTTTCTTGGTGGGTCACTGTCCAACACAGTTCCTGGCACAGGGCAGGAACTGAGTAAATTCTTGTTGGTGTCAAACTGCCTTTCCCTACCTCATCTTTTTATTTTATACTCTTTCTTCAAAAGGATGGCTTTCTGGAATGAACATGTTGGGCAAATAATACTGATAACAATTCCAACACCAAGAGTGTTTGTGTGGCGCCTTCAGGGTCACCAATATGATCTCGTTGAGTCCTCATGGGACATAAGTGCTACTGTTAGTCCCATTTTACAGATGAGGAAACAGAGACAGAGGTTGGATAACTTGCCTGGGAAGTGTCTGAGTCTGGAGTTGAACCCCAGGCTCAGAGATCCAACCCCTAGGCCACCTAACGCTGGTGATATAAAAACAAAATTACAGATATAATTTAAAATAAAAAGAAATTGGCAGTTTAATAAAGGAAAAAAAAAACCAAAAGACTGGCCCTCACGGAGCTTACAGTCTGTTTCATCTGTGTGAGTCCTACCCTTCAGAAGCACCAAGACAGAGAAAGCCCTAGTTCTGAAGCCAGGAGACTCCAAGCAGAGTAACCCAGAAGGCAGAGGGCTACTTGGACCTTTGAACCCCACCTGTGACCCTTGTGGGCCCTCCGCGGAGTCATTTCACCACTAGGAGCCTCGATGTTCTTCTCTGTAGAATGGGTTGATTATGATACTACCTGGAATGCCAAGACTTCACAGGATTGTAGCAAGGCTCAAACTCGGATGCACATCAAGTGTTTTGCAAATTTTAAAGCACTATAGAGAAACGTCAGCTATTCTCATATCTGGTCCTGACAATGCCTTTGTATGATCTCAAGCCTTACTTTCCTCTTCCTCCTCTATAAAACAAAGAAAAACCATACAAGGCGGCTTCCACGGTCCCTCCCAGCTCTGAAATCCTGTTCTGTGTTCTGATGTCTCAGCTCTGACATTCTGACTTCATCAGGTTCCCTGTGGGATCTCTGCATATAACTCCCAGATCGATCCCTCCTGCTCTGGTCTTGCTCCAAGCTGCCCGCCATGCTACCAACTGCTTATTGGACATTCCAGCTCAAATGCCCCACATTCAAACCCCTGCTTGGCATCTTCTCAAGCCCAGGCCCTGCTGAACCTCCCTGTTACTGTGTTGAGAGTCACTCAGGTGGGCAAGCATGGCTCATCCCCCACTCTTCCTTCTCACCCCACACATCCCAGCAGCTGGCCAACCTTGTCATCTCTCCCTCCTCACTACCCACCTTAGCACTCAGACTCCTCCAATAGCCCTTCAGTTGGCCTGCCTACTGCCACATAAGGTGACTCTCTTAAAGCCTGGGACTGACCAGGCCATCTCCCTATTCAGGAGATTCTGGCAACTTCCTAGAGCCTTTGGGCTCAAAGAGAAACACTTGTGGGGCACCTCCCAATCCCACTCTTCTGGCTTTCATTCTTCTTCTCCACATGCTCCATAATCTAGGGGATACTGGCCTCCTTACTGTTCCTCACACAGGACCCTAATCTCCCACCTCCAGGTTTGTACTGGCCATTCACCCACGCCTGGTGTGCCCTCCCCCTTCACCTCTGCCTGCTGGAATCAGATCAGGAGCCACTTTAAACAAGAGGCCTGACCTCCCTGGCCCCTCAGATTCGCCTCCCACTCTGGGTTCATTTCATACATGCTTAGACACGTCCAGGTTGGCTCCCCCGTTAGTGATTTCCTTGAGAGTAGGGGCCGCTGTATGGTGGTCTTTACTTTCCCAGCCATGAGCATAGTGCCAGGAACAGAGATGAACAAATGCTTACTGATGCCTTGACTGATTCTATGTTCTAGAAGATGGCTAGGGCAGAGCAGACACAGAGCTGGCCTTGGGGCCAGAAAGAACTGGGTGCAAATCCAGCCTCAGACACGGCCTGGCTGAGTGACCCTTGGCAAGTCATTTAACTTCTTGACACTCTAGGTCAGGAGTAGGGAACCTGCAGCCTCATCAGGTCCAGTCCCTGCCCCTAAGTTCTATGGCTCTTCCAAGCTGACATCTGTGTTGTATGTTCTGAAATCTCAGCCCTCAGCTCTGTTATTCTAGGTTGTATGTTCTGAGATCTCACTCAGCTCTGTTATTCTAGGTTATATATTCTGACATCTCAGCCAACTCTGTTACTCTACGTTGTATGTCTGGAAGTCTCATCCAGCTCTGTTAGTCAAATGTTGCATGTTCTGAGGTCTCACTTAGCTCTTCTATTTGATATTATACATCCTAAGGACCCTCCTGGCTCTGACATTCTCCTCAAAGGTAAGAGATTCTTCTTTCTTCCTCCAGCCCAGTATAGGTCTGGGAGACGGAGGAGAACTCAGGAAGGGTTTGTTGCCTGGGAGATTAGAGAATAAGATAATTCACCCCCACAACGCCACTCACCAAGGTTGCTGTCGGCTGCCCTCCGTCGAGGGTTGTTGGGATACGAGTAATACTGCGAGCCTCCCTTGACCCCTGTGGGGGACAGCGTGCTTGGGCTGTTGATTCCCAGCTCACTGGGCAGGAAGCCAGCCTACGACGGAAAAGAGCCATAAGATGCCCAGCCCCCATTCCCCAGGGCAGCCCCAGCCCCCCGGCTGTGGAACAAGCCCCCTTGCCAAGCACACACAGATCACCCCCAATGAGCCTGTCATCTGGCGGACACAAGGGCTCCGGGGGGGGGGGAAGCTGTGCAGCGTTCTAAAGGCAGTTGGGTGAAGCCACCAATTCCCAAGCAAGGTTACTGGGAAATCTGCCGCTGATTCAGTGTGTGCTCTTGGACAAGCCCCTTTGCCACAGTGGGGCTTGGTTTTCTCATCCAGAAAACAAAGGCTTTGGACCACGTCAATGGCTCTCAAAGGGCAGGCCCCTCATTCTCTCCTTCCCAAACTGACAAGTCTCCCCAGAGGGCCAGGAGGCTATCTCTGTGACAAAGAATAATGCAGTGCTGTGAGCAAAAAAGAAAGTTTGGGAACTGCTGGACCAGACGTGCTCCCAGATCATTTGCTGTTCTGATAATCTCTGTTCTGTGGTTCCCTCAGCTCGAAGATTCTATGACAGACCTCCTCCACAGTATAGTTTCCTTCAGTTTAAAGTGGGAATGGGGCAGCTAGGCGACTCACTAGATACAGCGCCAAGCCTGGAGTCAGGAGGACCTGAGTTCAAATCCGGACGCAGACAGACACTAGCTGTGTGACCCTGGACAAGTCCCTTAACCCTGTCTGCCTCAGTTTCTTCATCTGTACAATGAGCTGGAGAAGGAAATGGCAAAGTACTCTGGTATCTTTGCCACGAAAATCCCAAATGGGGTCATGAAGAGTCAGACAAGTTGTTGACTGTTGCTCAGTGGACCACGCAACAATTTGAAGAGAACACTATAGCTGAAACAAGAGCAGGTGCTGAGAGGCCAAGGCCTTCCGGGGAGGAGCTGGATTCCAGACTCTTGGGGAAAGCACAATGCGGCACTCTTAGGATGCAAGTTCAAATCACGCTCCCTGTCATAGAACAGACTCCCTAAAGAGGACAAGGACCCACTAAGAGGGTCATTGTAGTCGGCCTGGATCCTGGACGCCCAGGAAGGAAAAGAACAGATGTTGCCTGGGAAAGCTTCCCAAGCCTGAACCAGCAAACAGGAGGCCTGCTTCCTTATGGCAGCCTCGGCCAGTCACTTGTCTTTTCTGAGTCTGTTTTAGCGACAGTTCAATAGGGGAGGGTACCATTTTCTCCAGCATTTGAAAGATGATATAGGTGGGGACATTGGAAAAGATACTGACATGGGAGCCAGGAGGTAGGGGTTTGAATTCTGTCCCCTAAAACTTACTAGCAGGGCAGCTAGGTGACACAGTGGATAGAGCACCGGCCCTGAAGTCAGGAGGACTGGAGTTCAAATCCGGTCTCAGACCAAACACTTGACATTTACTAACTATGTGACCCTGGGCAAGTCACTTAAACCCAATCGCCTTAAAAAAAAAAACCAACACAAAAAACCCCCCCAAAAAAACCACAACAACTTACTAGCCCTATGAGCCTGGGCAAGTTATAACCCTCCCCTGAGCCTTCATCCATAAAATGGGGCCAATAATAATAAACCTTTATACAGTACTTTAAAGTCTGTAATAGCACCTATATAATGCGAAATACTTGCCTGCCTCCCTCTACAGACATGAAATAAGAAGATACTTTGTAACCCTCAAAGTATGATAGAAATGGAGTCCACTATTATTTTACGCATTTAAAACCATGATACTAAGAGGGTCGTAGGTTTCACCAGGCTGACTGCTGCCAATCCAAAAAGGTGAAGAATCCCTGATTTAATCTGACCTCTTTATTTTACAGAGGGGCAGACAGAGGCTTCAGAGAAGGATTTGTCTAAGGCCACACAGGCATAAGCAGTCGAGTTGGGCTCCCAAGCCCAGGAGGAAGGTCTTCTGACTCCAATTCTGACTGATGCTCTGCAAAACCATGCTGCTGCCTAGTTACAGGAACACAGGGAAGATTCACCGTTTCTTCTGAGTGAGAACTCCCAGTGTGGGAGCCCCCTCCCATGATGCAGATCTATTATCCTGGCTCATGGCTCTGGAACAAGAAGGGACCCCCAGTGCCATTGAATCCAACCCCTCTCATCTTAAAGATGAGGGAGCTTAGGCCAGAGGTCACACTGATGACCTCTTCATCGGGAAGAGCAAATATGGAAGCAGATCCTCTAACTCCAAGTTTGGAGTTCTCTTCTCCCTGGACCGAAGGAGTTACTGAGGCTGGGAAGTGACCTGCCGGAGGCACCCAGGTCATTTGGGGCAGAATTTGAACCCAGGTCTTCCTGACTCCAAGCTGAGTGCTTGATTCCACCTTGCCACATCATCTTTACTTATTTATTAGTACTACTGTTAGGGACCGGGACTGGGACCGGAATGGTGATTTCATTTAAGCGCAGGGAACTCCAGGGTAAGGACGTCCCCTCCACCAATGCTGGCTGGCACCTTCTTACTGCATGGGTATAACCCATGTCAAATTGCTTGCCTTCTCAAAGGCAGAGGAGGGAAGGAGAGAATTTGGAACTCAAAATTTGGAAAAAAAAATGTTAAAATTGTTTTTACATGTAATTGGGGAAAAAAATTAAGAAATAACAACAGCAAAAAATGAAAAGAAACTTAGAGTCTTAATTGCCTGGAGCACTGAGTGGTCAAGTGAGTTGGGAGGGGTCACATAGCCAGGATGTGTCAGAGACAGGATTTGAACCCAGATCTTCCAGGGTTCAAGGCCAACTATCCACTAAACCTTAGAATAATAACAGCAACAATAATTATTATTATTATTATTGCTACTACTGCAACAAATAATGACATGAGTGATGATGTTCTGGACAACTGCAAAGGATCATGAATGCGAAAGCCCACGGCTCTGGGTTCTGAAATGGGACCAGGGTGATTTCCCATCATTTTGGGGGGGCAGAGAAGGAAGATCTCCCTGCTATCCAGCCCTTTCCCAGCCCCCAAATTCAAACCTCTGCCAAACGACAACATTAAAAATAAAAAAATCCCCCCTCGTCGGCCTTTGGCACCCGTCCCGCTGCTATTTTCACAGCTTTGGCGGTAAATTAAATTCACTGCGGCCGGCCCTGGAGCCAGCGCAGCTGGTGTAGCAAAAGGAAACATTCTCCATTCAGAGGAGAGGAAATTATGACAAATTTGTGCAAAATTAAAACATGGGCTTAAAAAAAAAAGGGAAAGAGGGAGAGAAAACGCTACCCAAACCCCACCCTGCAAAGAGCCAAGCAGACAAGACAGGAAGGTGAGGCTGGGCCAAGGCAAAGGGCACCAGGAGATGCTGCTGGCTGCTGTGGCTTCGACAAGCCCCTCACACGCCCCCCTCATCTGGCTACTTTCAAATCTCCAAGAATCCTGTCTTCCCCTAACACTGTGGTCAGCGGCCATCTTCGGTTCCAATATCTGTTCCTCTCTTCTAAGGTTCCTTCCAGATTTAACATTCTTTGTTCTTGGAGCAAAGATCCCTCCCAGCTCTGACCTCCTGTGTTCTAAGGGCCCTCCCAGCTCTGACACCCTGTATTCTAAGGGCCCTCCCAGCTCTGACACCCTGTATTCTAAGGGCCCTCCCAGCTCTGACACCCTGTGTTCTAAGGGCCCTCCCAGCTCTGATACCCTGTGTTCTAAGGGCCCTCCCAGCCCTGACATCCTCATCCTATCTTCTCAGAGCCCTCCCAGCCCTGACATTCTGTGTCCAATGATAGGTCCCTCCCAGTGCATGAGCTAATATGCTTTCCAACTCTCACATTCTACATTCTAAGTGTGGCAAATCGCTTTAAAGAGGCCATTTTAGAAACCTGGCAAACTCTCATCTCCTCATCCAAGGGCCCCTGATTTGAGCAACACGACCACTGGCTCCCAATTCTGGCTCAGGCAGCTCTGTACTTATTCCAGTGACCCCCTCACCCCCACTTCCTTGGTTCTATTCCAAGCTCCATGTTGGACTGCTCAGCTCCTGGGAAGAACTCAAAAATAGGAGGAATGATCATTCTCCCCCTCCCCAAAGTCTTGGAAAATCTGCATCTGGGCTGTTTCTGGTGGTTGGGAACCTGAAGCCAAGAGGCCCAATTAGGCTCCTCCTCGTCCCAAAGAGGAAGGAGCCAGGACCTGATGGTCCTTCTCCTTGGACCATCCCAGGCCACCACCTGCTTCACCACCCCAGCACCAATAGCCTCAGGGCCAGCAGCCCATTTTGTGGGAGGGAATAAAGGTGTCAGTCCAGCCCCTGAGCCCCAAGCCCGGTTTTCAAATTGTCCTCCTGTCATTCTGTACTGTGCAGGGCTCAAGATACAGGGAACAGGCAGTCCTGTTCCCCCCACCCCCCACCCCACCAATCAGGCAAACTCTTCAGATCTATTGTTTCTTCTCCTGTCACTTACCTGACTAAGTCCAGGCATCCCAGGGTCTCTCCCAAAGGCCGAGTATGAGGCTCTCTCGCTGTTCTTCCCTAGAGGGGAGTAAGCAAGTTCCCAGGTAAGTATCAGCAGGCAGGACCAGGCCGCCTGGTTATGGCAAGGCAGGCCAGGTTGGTCTGAGGACTAGGAGAGAGGATCCTTCCTCATTCTAGGGGAGGCTCATGATCAGAATAAGGACTCATCTGAGTGAGCCCTTCCACCCTCAGGGAGCATCAGTGGCTTGTCTCTCCACTGTCACACAAATGGCTTTTACTCTACCTACCCAAGCCCAAGGTCAGAAGTGGATGCCACCTACAAGGGGAGTCAGAACACTCCCCCCCATTAGCTTTAGTCTCAGATTTGCCACTGATGCTCCCATGAGTCACTTTAAATCACTGCCCCTCTCTGGACCTCAGGTATCCCCATCGGTCTAATGAGGGAGGTTGGACAAGATAACTTCAAAGTCTTCCATGTCCTAAGGGCCCTTCCAGCTCTGACATGCTGGGTTCTAAGGGCCCTGACAGTGTGTTTTAAGGGCCCTCCAAGCTCTAACATTCTATGTCCTAAGGGTCCCTCAGCTCTGTGTTTTAAGGTACAGGCTAGAGAAAGTGGAAGAAAGGCAGAACCAGCTGGGGTCCTACTCTATATCCCCTGTGCCCACTTCCTTCTCTTTTCAAATTGTCAATGAGGACTTGTGGCTATGGCAACCTATTATCTCAAGACACAAACCAAAGCAGGAAATCATCAGCAATAGGTCAGAAGACACACACACACACACACACACACACACACACACATATAATTACCTTATTCAGAAGGTACAGGACAGGTAAGGGAGGATGGGATGGGTACATGAGGAACAGTAAGAAGTTATGCCCAAGTAAGGCTACCCAGGACCCAAATGCCAGGAACGAGGCAGAGACACAAGTGATCCTGCCATTGGCATATATTACAGACCACTTAGGCGGGAAGAGATGAGGAGTTTAGGAAACCCGACTGCAAGCCTGGCACAGAGAGTGGTGATAAAGGCACTTCAATTACTCGGACATTTACCAGAGCCCAAAGCAGAATGGCTCATGGTTTCTTGGTTCACCTTAATGAGAATTTCATTCTAGAAAAGGTAGAGGAAATTGAAAAGGGAACTGGGATTTTGGACCTAATTCTGACCCACAAAGAACTGGGTCCTGGGGGTGGAAAAGATGGGCCTTCTGGGGGTGGGAAGATGTGAACACACTCTCTTAAGAGTTTGTAGTAACAAGTAGCAGATGAAAGCTGGGGGCCATCTTACAGCACCTTTGATTTGAGGAGAGCAGGTTTTAGGAGGTACCATGAAAATTTGCAACCCACATGGACTAAAATTCTGAAGGGGGAAGGAAGTCAATGAAGAAGGAATGCGAGGGAAACCAGAGAATGAAATTCTGACAGAAGACATGGAGAGAGACAACTTAGATGAAAAGGAAAGGTGTGTGTAGAGGGTGTTTATAAAAAGACCAATGTGGATACCAAGGGGACTCATCAAGCAGGATGGGGTCAAAGACATGGCATAGATGATGGAAGCTAGGGCAGAAAAGGGACCATTCATGTCAAAAGTCAGGGGTGCAACGGTCTGTAAGCTTGAAGCATCAGTGTGATATGGCAGCTTAGTTTTCGATAAGGAAGGAAGGAAGGATGGTGATATCCAGGACTAGGGAGGTAATAGGGTTAGGGTCCTGTGCCCTAGTCAGACCGAATTGTAGGATGGACACTGTAAGCTAGAGATTGCCCAGAGGGAAGCAACCCAGATGAATGGTCTGTGATCAGGTCATAGGAGCATCAGCTGAAGGAACTGGAGAAGTTTCACCTAGAAAAGAGGTTACTTGGGAGAAGAGGAATGGTGGCTGTCACACACGGAAGAGAGAAATGACTTGACCCCACAGAGCAGGGCCAGGAGCAACAGCAGAAGTTGAAATTCAGTTTGGCATGAAGAAAAACTTTCTAACAGTCAGCTCTCTCTAAGTCCAATGGGCTAATCTGGAGGGTGATGGGTGGTGAGGGCTCTCACTGAAGGGCCTGAAGGAAAATGTGGATGAGCTCCTACTGGGAACTGTTTTCTCAGGTAAGGTTGGCACTAGAAGGCTACTGAAGGCCTTTCCACCTGGGATTGGGTGACTTGCCTGGCAGAGGGAGGGAGAGAGGGAGAGAGGGAGAGAGGGAGAGAGAGAGAGAGAGAGAGAGAGAGAGAGAGAGAGAGGAGAGAGGGGAGAGAGAGAGAGAGAGAGAGAGAGAGAGAGAGAGAGAGAGAGAGAGAGAGAGAGAGAGAGAGAGAGAGAGAGAGAGAGAGAGAGAGATACCCAAATAACGGAGCTCCCATACCATACCTCTTAGGACAAATCCTACTGACTGAGACCCCTGGGGCAGTAAAGCACTGGACTGGGGGGTAGTCCTCTGGTGCTGGATGGTGCTTGGAGGGGGATGGGGAGCCCCTCCCCCTTACTCACAGGGCAGCCAGGACTCCTGTTTTCAATCTATACCACATGATTTCATCTCCCTTTTCCAGTTTGAATGGGCTTCAGAAAATTGGGGGGGGGAGGTGATGCTAAAAAGGAAAAGGGGAAGAGAAGGCCTTATAAGAGTAGAGAGGGAGAGGGGGAAAGGGGAGAAGTGGGCACATAAAGGAGAAAGGGAATCTGAGAGATGGGAAAAGAAAGCAGGGGCAGGGAGAAGAGAGGGAGAGAAGTCAGGGGACGGAGAGGAAGAGGTAGAGATGTGGGAGAAGAGGAGATGTAGGAGAAAGGGAAGATGGAGACAGGAGAGCCGGGAGCGGCAGGAAGCTAGGGGAGGCAGCTCCCATTTCTTCCAAGTCTACTCTGAGCTCTTCTCACGGATAGCCAGGTGTGCCACCATGGGGGGAAGGCAGAGGCTCCTGAAACTAGACCGAAAAGCGTCTTGGACCCTGTGACACCAGGGCTAATTTCCTAGTCAATGAACCAAGAGAGCTGGAGGAAGCGGCATCTTGCTTAGCCCAGAGTCTGATGGATATCGGAAATCGAGTCGCAAAAGCGCAGTTCCTGCCCACTCCCCCCATTGCCAGGTCAGTCAGCTGGGTCTGAGGTCTTCCCAGGAGCCCTAGGAGACATGGGGAAAGGACGAGCTTTCTGCCTTCCTCAAGCCCTCACCAAGGGAGGAAAGAAACTGACTGGCTGAAGTCTGGTCACTCTATTCAGGGACCACTGGCCCAAGCTGAATCCCCACCTGCGCTGGCAAACCATGAGCTTCCAAAAGAAGAGGAAAAGGCTGTGTGGTCTTTGGTGAACCTTAGGGGGCCTTAGGACCTCCAACGGGACAACGGGACATCAGAGATGGGCTAACCCACGACCGCAGAACAGCACGAGCACATTGTTCAGTCTGCCACTTAGGGAAGGAATCCCTTCAAAAACATCCTTGAAAGTGTTCAACCAGCTTCTGCCCAATCACTTTCAACGACAGGAAGCTCACTACCTCACAAGGCAGCCAAACATCCTGTCCTTCCAAGGCGAAATCGTTCCCAGTGGGATAGGGATAATTTTACAGAGAGAAGGAAGAAAGCGGGGAAAGATGAGAGGGACTTGGTGATTTGGTGATTGCCGAAAGGTCATAAAGGCAGGCAGGATTCAACCCCAAGTCCCTCCCCTCCAAATTCACTCCTCTTTCCCCCATGCCACACTGCCCACTGGCCCCTGGACGTGGGGTCTGAGCCACATTCCCGGCAGCACTGCACTGGGTCAGTTGCAGTCTCCTTCCTCCCTGTAGGACAAGGGAGAAGGGTTTCTGAGACAGCTGGAGCTGCGAGAGGGGATGGGCTTCCGACGTGGGCTCTCCCGGAGAGAGGCTCACGGATCTGCATGGGACAGCGCCAGCTATCAGCCACCTCCTAAGTAAGGCTGGAAAGAGCTACTCATACTGTACGGCATTGGGGAAAGCACCCTACACCCACTGGCAGAGTGGGTCAAAGCAAGTCCCCATTTTTCCAGCATTTTTAAAGGTTTACAGATAGCCCCGTGAGGCAGGAGCCAAGAGATCTGAATGTCATTAAGCCTGGATGATTAATTTGGGGAAGACATTCCTGTTCTTTGAACCTCAGTCTGACGCTGCTCGGTCGTGTCTGACTCTACGTGGTTTTCTTGGCAAAGACACTGGGGTGGTTGGCCATTTCCTTCCCCAGTGTGCGCCCGTTTTACACAGGAGAAATGGAGACCAACAGGGCGAAGCGTCTTGCTCAGGGACATACATCTAGTAAGTGTCTGAGGCCACATCGGAACTCAGATCTTCCTGACTCCAGGCCTGGTACTCTATCCACTGAGTCACCTAGCTGCCCCTTACCTCACTTTGGCTATCTGTGAAATGAACAGATCAATACCTACACCATGCACAGGACCACTCAGAGTCAAGTGCATTAATGTGAATTATTAATATTAATAACAACAGATAGCACGGAGTAGTGGCTAAAGCCAGCCTCAGTGTCAGGAATACCTGGGTAAGGCACAGTCCCAGGCAGACAGCCAAGTCTCAGAGGGCATTAGATGAACCTCCCTGCTCACCCATCACCTTTTGTTTGGGACTGCATCTCCCTGTCTTGCCCAGACAGGAAGCCAAGTGGCCCTTCATGGGCCCAATCCCACTACTTTGGCCTGCTTCAGTTCTGGCCTGGGCTGGCTGTTAGGGAGCCTGACCCCCCCACGCTGGGGGGCTTCACCATATTAGCAGAGACTCTCTTCAGTTCGGCTCATTCTAATGCAGAACTCCCTGACCTCAGCCTGCATGCTGGCACGTGTGTGCCACCACTCTTGGCCAAGCCCACCATTTTGTCCAGAGATGTTCTTTAACCTGCCCAGTATCCTGAAGGTTGTCAGAGGTCAAAGGAACCTAGCTCCTCTGACTCTAGGCTATCCTGACTCTTATCCCAGGCAACTAAGACAAAGCTGCTAAATGAGTGCCAATCTGTACTGGGGGAGGGAGTTTCCTAACTGGATCAATGAAATCACAGGACTGATCACTCCCCCCCAAATTAATCAATATCATTAATGATATCATATAG